GATATTATGGTAAAGAATTGGTTTAAATATACCAAATTTCAATGTGATAACCAGACTTTTAGAATCAAGTTAAAACTTTTAACAGTCCAATGAGCATGAAACACAGCAATTGTTCAGTTTAAAGAGATCCATTTCATTACATATGTGATTTAATAAGTGTCTGGTAAATAAGTATTATACCTATTCTATTTGCTGTGCATCATCTTGTCTGCATATTGTTATCTGGTTATTACTGTATTTACCATCTTTTACTTATAAGAAAATTCGTTGTCACAACATACTTTATATCTTTTTCAAAAAATAGAATTTTTATCGTTTTTTTTTATCAAGACATTCAATAGTTATTTGCTCATTTGCATCATTCTTTACTCCAATCTTTTTAGATAAACTTTACTATTTAGCTGGATTTGTATTTTTAACCTCATCAAATATTTTGCTGTAATAATTGTTAAGGTGCTCGTCTAGAATTAGGATCAGCAGAAGAATGTGATTGCTATTGTTGGAAGACGAGGAAAGAAAAATTAAGATAAAAAATCGTTGCAAAAAATCACATTTTTTAAAAAGCATCAAGCGGCATCACTTTGAATTTTTGTGTGCACAGATCGTATTCAGAGAAATTGCGCGAAATAATTTGCTGGTGATGAAAACGATACACTCTATATATCATAAAAAATAGGGTCAAAATACAAAAAATGTTGACAATATTAATTCGAATCCTTGGTTAAATTATCATTTATTTATTTGTATAAAATTGGTACTTTTTATGTATTTTCAAATTAGTATAAAATGCCTTTATTTTTCTTTTCCATACTTTTTTCAAATTAGTATTTTTATTTTTATTTTCCATACTTTTTTAGCTTGGCATTAAAATATTAAAGTAAAAATGAATTAGTATGCTTAGTTTGATGTATTTTAATCACCTAATAAAAACGTGAATATAAGTTAATCCTGAACAGTAAGAACATTCGTACTACTTGCCTCAGTAGAGTAAAAAAAATCAGATAAAAATCTATTAAGAAATATTTAGTTAATATTTTTCCTTACTAAGTTATACTTACTGGAGCCGACAACACAACTATACTCTGTTTTCATGGAATTCCAATACGAAATACTGTGCTTGTGGCAAAGCAATTAACCCAATTGAGAAGAACAATCCGGATATAATTTCTGGTAGATACGACTGCTCAAGTACTGAAATCAAACCAACTGAAGATACAACAACAAGCAAAGCTGTAGGAACAACTTTTCAAGGTATTTAAAGAAACTACTGGAGCTAAACAAAATGATTTCATAATGGGCTAATTAGATTATAAAAATAGCTATCAATTCATTTTTATATGATCTACAACAACATTTAACAATATTACACTGCTTATTTAAGAACCCTTATATTTTTGCTTGTCCTCGAATCAAATTTTAGTGTTCTCGAATCATATTTTAGTGTTCTCGAATAAAATTTTAGTGTTCTCGAATCATATTTTAGTGTTCTCGAATCATATTTTAGTGTTCTCGAATCAAATTTCCTTGTCTTCAAATCAAATTACCTTGTCCTTAGATAATTCTTTTTGTCTTAGAATAAAATTTCCATATCCTCAAAACAAATTTTCATGTCCCCGAATCAAATAACATTTTTAAAGTGAACTTATTTTTAAATTTTTAATTCTAACTGCTCATCCTTTTCATTGCAGCAGAGGATCTGAAAAACTGCAATGTTGTTCCACCAGACTGTATTAGGGAAGACATCACTTATGGAAAAGCGGGAGATTATGGTAATATATTAACACTCAACTACGCTTACATTGCATTCTGCCGTAATTTGCAGTACACCGAGTAATGATATAGTTTAGTGGAGAGGGTATCATCTGTCATAAAGAAAAAAATGTTTGAATACCGACGTACAAAGAAACTGAACTAAACACTCTCTACAAACCATATTTTACCAATCTCAATATCCTTGAAAACCTGATATTTCAGATATTTCAAACTTAAACTATTTGTTTTAACATAATTCATAGATTTAAGTATCACAGATCTGCTACATGAGGTTCCAAGATATAAGGGCTGTATTTAGAGCTTGTAGCAAGTATTTCGATTTTTATTGAATTAACAATTTAACCCTATAGATATGTGCATTCTGATTTAAAACAAAATAAACTGTCCTGTTACACTTACAATTTTTTTGCTTCCAAATTTGTTTCGGAAACAACATACTCACTCTTTTTTGATAAATTAATTTACCCTTTCCAACAAACTAAAATTTTCTAATCCTATTATCTTTGCAACCCGATGGTAGGACCTTAGATATTGCAAAGTATGAATTCTGTTTAGATCAAATAATCTAAGTTTAAGATATCAAAGGTCTGCGACATTGGGTTTGAAGATATAGGGATCAGAAAAGTTGAGTTTGTGACTAAGATTCAATTCTTTTACATTTCTAACTTTATAGATGAGTCTGTGACTGTAAAAACTGGAACAGCAGAGGAATGCGACTGCTATTGTTGGAAAAAGAGGAAAGAAAATTTGATATTAAACTTTAAGAAAAAAAATTACATATCTTAACTCCATTCAGGGGATCCACCCTTTTTTATATTTTGTATGTAGAGGAGCTTTTTTTGACATATTTTTCATTTTGGAAAATTTTTCAGACCGGATTTTTTTATTCAGATTCTGTATTAAAATGATTAACTTAAATAAAATTCTTTTTAAAATATAAAAAATTGTGATATTTTTTCTTGTAGTTATACTGACGTGAAGTCTATTAAACGCAACTACACTTTGTTTTCATGGAACCCCGATCATACAAACTGTCGGTGTGGCAGAGCAACAAACCCAACCGAGACGGGTCACACAAATATGATCTCTGGTAGATACAACTGCTTGAGTAATGCAATCAAACCAACTGAAGATACATCTTCTCAAGGTAAAAAGACAACTAAAACTGTAAAAAACGCAATCGAACGACCATTCCACGTTCTAAGTGTATTACAAGTTTTATCAATCTATTGTTTTGTATGTTAGTCTCTACAACGTTTCGACAGTATTAGCCTTTACAACAAATTATCTGGTTTTTTAATCCCTATGAATTTGCAACTCAATGTCGTAGATATTAGATATTTAAAACTATTGAATTCTGTTGGATCAAATAATCTAAATTTGAAATATCAAAGTTTTACACTATTAAGTTTTAAGATGAAGAAATTATAAAATTTTGGTTTGTAGCATAAACTTAATTGAGTTCTTTGAATTAAAATAAATAGTGAACCCCTTGATCAATTTTATCAGTTTTAGACTAAAGGTAATCCTAAAAAAAATTTTTAATATTAAACTTGCAGGATACAGGGAGGATACAGGATTAAATTATTGTATTGCCCCAAGCTGTATTACGAAGAGTTTCAGCTATTATTATAATGGATTGAACGGTAACATATTTGTAAAGAGAAAACCCATTTAGATGTTTGTAAAGCCTATTATAAACCTTGATTAAAGGCATTTTTCAAGCGACTTTCCATGACATGACAATGCACGATTCACAACGGTACCCTTAAAACCTTTATCTTATCAATAATATTGAAAATATTGTCGTTAGCTTTAACATTTATTATTTTCTAATTTTTACAATTCCCATATGATATCCTGCAAGAAATGCGCAAGTTAATTTATTAATGTAAACACAATTGAAAATACAGGTTTTAAAATTATATAAACTGCACTGATATCTTATTCATACTTGACCAGACAAAGCTTTTAAGGGTACTGTTCACCCCGGTCTAACCAGAGTAAGAAGCATTCGGTTTCTTCTATTTAAAAAAACGTGTTTAGGTCTCTAATTTCACTATCTAAACTTGTTAATCATTTACTCCTTCATTCAAAACGTATACATACCGACATAAAAGTACCTAAGAAAAAAGTCTAAGAAATAATGTATAAGTAGTCAAATATTGACAGTACACGTAAATTCATGTGCGTTGTGAATCAGGCATTGTTATCTTTACATAAAGGGTCACTTGAAATTAATCTTACAGTCCCGCGGAGTCTCTACTATCGTCCCACATTGACATGAGTCAAGAAATGAGTTTATAAAAAATGCTCCAAACTATTTTTTAAACCTAAAATTGGTGTAAATAGAATCCATTTCACAAAAATGCTAAATGATGAAAATATCTAAAAACCTTAAAATGACTAGAAAAATTCTAGCAAATTGACAAAAAAATTGATATGTTCTATGATACAACATTCACAGAAACTGAATACTAGCCTTAAACTCTAATTTTCTAATACCTATATCTTTGCAACCAGAGTCTAAAACTGAAGAACGAAAAGCTTCGACTTGAATTTTAAGTTTTAGCTTAAATGCCACTTCTGACTTTATTTAAAACTAAATTTTAGCCCTGGGTTTAAATATTTAACTTGCCAAAATCGACGAGTTCAAATTTAAACCCAGGGTTAAAATCTTGAAATCCCGCATTTTCAAAATTAGTCTATCAATCAATCATCATTTATCTAAGAAAGCGGCATTCAACTTTAAGCTATATTTAAAAGTGAAAACCTTGATTGAATAAATTTTACGTTTTAGATTAATTAACGTTTGCACGGTTGTAACTGGAAATATATGTTTTGTTTTTGGGTATGTAAATAATTTAAAATTTAAAAACTGCTGATGAGCAATGGTTACGTAATATCTCTCAGTAAATCCTTTTCTCTGCTTGGTTCAGATTTTTTCCGGGAAATTCAAATCTCCCTTCAGGGTTATGTTGAGAAAATTTAATATCTAAGTAGCAACTCATTATTTTATAGAACTTTTAAGCTATAACTTATATTCCGCGCATTCTTTAGGTTAAGACTCTGATAGCATTAATATTTGACAATTAAAACTTTTTTTTTAATCCAAAGGATTGATCATATTGCTAAGTTATAAGGATTAGAAAATCATAGTTTGAGGCTGGTAATTACTAAGTAGTTTGATCCTTTACTATTGAAATATTCTTAGCTTTGACAGAACATATTACCGACGGATCACCAGAACGCTGCAGTTGTCATTGTCAGAGGTAAAAAAGTAAAGATAAAATTCAAATATAATGCTCTCTAGATTAAAGTAAATCATAACTCCTTTTATAGGAGAGCTTTCGAGATGAACAGAGCTGTTTTTATTTCTAGAATGTAAACAAAAAAAATAGTTTTTCTATTTCTTCGTAAAATGAAAACTAATCAAGCTGAAAGGTCCCAAGGTGAAATCGTGTACATTTTGTGAAATTAAGTTTTCATTTGTGATATTCCATATGTAAACATAATTTTTTTTCGTTTTTTTATTTTTAATTTTTAACAACATTTTCTAGTAAGTTTAATGTTTTGTTTGATAAAATCAAAGAAATTGATTTGAGTTTGAACTGGATTCAGATTAAAAAGCAAAAAGTAAAACTATTTATAGAGGGGGGGGGGGGAAGTTTTTTGTCTGTTTAACAATTTTTACTTAGATAGATAAATGGATTGCTTTTTAAACATAGGAAAACTAACTTTTCACAAATATTGTAAAAGGAATTGACTCTTTGCCACAATTACACTAATTTTCTTATCCCCATCCTCTTAGCAACATAATGTCGCAGACCTCAGATATTTAAAACAATTAAGAAATTGACTCTTTGCAACAAACTCTGATTTTCTAATCCCTATTTCTTTGGATTCCGACGTCGTAAACCTTTGCAATTTCAAACTATGACTTTTGTTAGATCAAAAAATATAAGTTTGAAATATCAAAAGTTTACGACATTGGGTTCCAAAGATATTGGGATTAGAAAATCAGAGTTTGTGGCAAAGAGTCAATTCCTTTTTTGTTAAATACAATTATCTAAGTTTGAAATATCAAAGGTTTACGCCACTAGGTTGCAAAGATATAGACAATAGAAAATTTGAGTTATTTGCAAGACTTGATTCCTTCTGTTTATATTGTGAATGAGTTTCAAAATCATTCAAACATACACATGCTAATGAACATTTGAAAAATAATACTTTTTTCTAGTGACCGATATACTCTGTTTTCCTGGGACGCTGAATCTAAGAACTGTGTATGTGGAACAGCAATAAAACCGACTGGGACGGAAAACTTGACTGTTATCTCAGGCATTTACAATTGCTTAAATGATGTCAACCAGCCTACTACAACAGTACAATTTGAAGGTAAAATTCTCAATTGAAAATACAACTGTGGCCATTCCAGGTGTTTTCCACCCCCCTTGTGGTTTCTTTATTTATTAAAAATAAGTATTTTTCAAAAATTTTCTGACGTACTTTTTGAACTCTTGCACTCTAACCATTAAAATTAGACGCCTCATTTTTTTAATGACCCGGCCTTAAAAAGTTGGACTAGGAACGTGTATCACACCCCCTTATTTCGACTCTAAGGGCAAAATCATAGTTGTCTTCCCCCCCCCATCTATATTAGACAAAAATAGCCTAATTAGGATAGGGTTAAAGAATGTGGCAATGCCCGATTGACAACAGTTCCAAAAAAGCTTTGTCTGATCTGGTATGAATTGGACTTTAGTTTAGAATTTTGATTATTTTTATTGTGGTTTGTCAATAAAAGTGACTTGCGCATTTCTACTACAGGACAACATAAAGGAATTATCCGAATTAAACTTTTTTAAACTTGAAAATCGACAAAATCGTACAAGCTATTGATAAATTAATGGTTACAAGAATACCATCATGAATCGGGCATTGTCATCTATGTACGTGAAAGGTCACTTGAAATTACACATACACAGTCCGTTTAATTAAACAAGATTAAAATTTTTATAATCAAATTAATTTTGTAGGAGGACAAGATACAGGAGAAGAATATTGTAATATTAAACCAGCCTGTATTAAAGAAGGGGTCACCTATTATAGTAACGACGCTGACGGTAAGAATGGAAAAATCTAAAGTAAGAATGGCTCTATGCTTCTCCCTCACACCCCGTGTCAGCGTTTAAAATGAAAAAATGACCGCTTTAAAATCTCATAATTTAAAACTAGCTAACCTGAAAACCGGAAAGGGAGTAATTTGGGAAAGCATTTTAGTAATATTCTTTCTTTCTTTTGTTACAAACTAAAAGAACCCATAAGTCATGAACATGACGCAAATACAACATTTACTGATTTATTGCCACAAGCACAAATTTTATTTTCCCTATATCTTTCAAACCTGATGGTGCAGTACTTTGATATTTCAAATTTGACAGAAATCATAATTTGAACAAAGGTCTTCAACATTGATTCGATTTGATTATAGTTGCAAAGATATAGGGACTAGACAATTAGAGAGTTTGTGGCAAACACATAGTATTATGTGTGTTTATATCGTGAAAAGATTAATTCCTAACTTTTAGTAATTTTGAAATGAAAGGAATTGACTCTTTGCCACAAACTCTGATTTTCTAATCCCAATATCTTTGGAACCCGATGTCGTAAACCTTGGATATTTCAAACTTATATTTTTTGATCTAATAAAAGTCATAGTTTGAAATTTCAAAGGTTTAAGAAGTTGGAATCCAAAGATATAGGGATTAGAAAATCAGAGTTTGTTGCAAATAGTCAATTCCTTTAGGAAATTATGTAACGCTCAAGCCCGGATCAGCAGAAGACTGCAGCTGTCATTGTTCTAAACTGAGGATAGAAAATTAAAGATGAAATTTAATATAGTCAACATTTAAATCAGCTTAATTTTACGTGAACTCCCTTTTAAAGAGGCGCATTCCCAATTCACAACGGTACCCTTAAACCTTTGATGGAATTGTGGCAGAAAAAAAAGAGTTTACTTTCAAATGTTTGAAACCCGCTTTTAGTACGTCCACAAATTAAGTCCTTCCAAAAGTGGTAAATTGTTTTGATTTTCTACATATGCAGAACTCTGTTGGATTCTGTCTTTTATTTAGATTAATTTTCAAAAATGCTAAATTTCTATAAAAAAAAATACAAAAACATTTGTTTTTTTTTCTTAAAGTGATAATACTGTGTTTTCATGGAACTCCAACCATAATATCTGTTGGTGTGGAAAAGCAACAGACCCAATTGAGTCGGACAGATTAGACGTAATCTCTGGTAGATATGACTGCTTGAGTAATGATACATCTTCTCTAGGTAAAGAGCCAACTGGACCTGTAAAAGGTAATCAAATGATCGTTTAGTAATCAGCATTGATTACAGTATAAAAAGTATAAAAATATCTAGAAATAAAGTTGTTTTTGGAGGATCATTTCATTTTCAAAAACACTTCAGATTTTTGATCTACTCGGTATTTTTCCTCTTCGATTTTAGAATAAATGAAATATTTCTTGACAAAATTCTCAATATTGGATTTATGATGTCTGCATCCAGTAAGATTTAAACCACTGTTTTACGTTTTTAGCTATACGCAATTTAAAACAATATTGTAAAATCAAATTATTTTTGATTGCCGAACCATAATTTTCCCATGCAAGGAGGGACATTAAGATAATTAACCACTGAAGTTTTCTGAACATTTTTCAGCTCTAAAGACAGTCAAATTGTGTATACCCAATTTTTACGGGAAATTAAAATTTTTGCTTAACCGGGTTTCCTTGACCAGAATTTACCTCGCTGGGCTCTTAATGTTTAGTAGGCAAAATTGGTCTTGGGAACCCTTGGTAAAGTAAAATTCACTTTAACTTCCCAGTATAAAAGTATAGTTGTATTATCATCAGTATTACCATTTTGCCCATAAACTATTAGCCTAAATAATAAAAAAGAAAAATGTATTATATTAACAAATTGAAAAACCATTATACCTAATTGACACAGTTTCACATTAATAGAAATATATCATAAAAGTTTATAGTTTTTATACTATTAAAAATCTATTATTTTTGTTTTTCATTAGGACCATGGATAATTTTTACGGACACAATCATTATTTATAATTAAAAATCATTACAGCAATCAATTTTTTTTACATTAAGAATATGGATAATTTTTACCATGCCGACAAAATAATTATTTATAATAGTTAATGATTTAAAGACCTTTATTACAATAATTATATTTATTCTACATTACGAATCGTAATAGTTTTACTTTGCAGAAAAAAAGGCCTTAGAGAGTAGGTATAGGGTTGAAATGCATGTTCATAGCCCGATTTTTGTATGCTGGCTCAATGAAAAAAATAGATTGATAACTTTTATAGATTTGGTGCTAGGGAGGGTTTAAAAAAATTGAAAAAAATTGTTAGAAAAATGAAAAAAATATTTTTTTTGTTTTAAACAAATATCGAAGTGTGACACAAAGGCTTTTCAAAAATATAGTTTATAGATCTGTTGCTTTAGTCACAAAAAAGTTATGGGATATTTTAAAAAAATTCAAAGACTGAAGACTTTTTTCCGCCCTGTATCCTACCCTATTAAAAATTATTTTATTGCAGAAATCCTTAAATTACTATTCATTAAAAGTCACAAAATTTTACGGTGATAGTGTCAAAAATAAGAGTGATAGGACAAAAAAACAGGGGGGGGGGTCGCCATACGCCACCCCCCAGCCTGTTTAGGGTAAGAATCATGGATCATTTAAAATCAATTTATATTAAGAATCATGGATTAAATAAAAATATAGTTTTGCGGACAAAATAAATGATTTCAAAACCATTAAAACAATTAATTATATTTGGCTATCAACATGTGCACTTTTGCAAAAACAATAATTCTGCATAGGATTAATTTTCAAAATTTCATTTTATACTTCATAAATTGATTTACACCGGTATATTTCTGAGGTCCAAAACTTAAATTCATCCGAAAATTTTTTTATTTATCAAATCAGTAGAAAGGAATTGAGTTTTTTTTCACAAAATCTGATTTAACTATCCCCTATATCTTTTCATTTCAATGTCGGAGACTTTAGATATTTCAAACTATGAATAATTTTAGATCAGATAATGATTCTTTGAAATATCACAGGTTAACACCATCAGGTTGCAAAGATATAGCGATTTGAAAATCAATATTTTGGCTAAAACTCATTTCCTTGATTTTAATAGTGTCAAATATTGTTGTACTCGTCATGCTTAACAAAAATTTGCTTTTAGTATCTACTCTTGCTCTCGATGGGACGTGATCTAAAACCTTTAAGTTTGAAAATGAGAAATTTCAAACATTTTCTTATTTTCAAAACCTTTTGTTTTTGTTACATAACTCAAAAAATCCCTCCCTTTAGGCCTAAAACCGGGCTTTAATACTAACTGCCTGAGTCCTCAGGCACACTGCCTGAATGACTGCTTTTTCCTGTAACAAACTAAATCTTTGTTTTGACCCACTTTCACTTGTCAGATTTTGATAAAATTTAGCTTTTTAGAAAGCATATGACATAAGGAAACGGATTGCACAAGTTTTGCAAAAAAAGCAATTGTTTCATAATATATTGAAAATACAAAATAAAGTTTTATTTTTCACTAGTCAATAATATTGTTCAAAAAATGAATAATTATTTTGTCTACATAGTAAAACTATAATTTTATATTTTTGATGGTTTTTATTGTAAAACGAATATCATTAATTGTTGTAATGGTCTTTAAATCATTTCCTGTTGTAGGGTGATAAAACTACTTCATCACCCCTACAACTGGGTGATAAAGTAACTTTATCTCAACCTTATTTGCGAAATTTTGCATATTTCCGCGAAAATGAATGCAGCAAAAATTTGACCAAGGATTTTTGTTAAGATCGGACCACTTTTACCGCACTGATATACTTTTCAGAAATATGCACGTTTACAAAGTCTAGATAGCTCAAAAAAAATAGTTCTAGAATTTATAATGTCATAATCATACCCAACTACTACCCCAACTCCGTCTGTTTTTTAGAGAGACCCCACCCCCACCCTTGTTTAGTAACACCCAAAAATGTAGTCTTTTTGGTGTATTTTTATGGTGAACAAAACAATTCCAAGGGGGGAAGCAAAAAATAGCCAGGGGGGGGGCAGAACAAAATTTAAAAAGGCGTCAATATTTTTTCAAAAAAGAGGTTTTTAAGGGAGGGGCACAATGTTGCCACGGGGGGGGGACCCATAATTTTTTAATTGTGCCCCCCCCCCTAAGCAAATGCTCTCGTACCCCCTTGTCCAAACTTGGTCTGTTTTTGAGTACCCTAGACTAAAGATCTTAAAATCATTAACTATTATTAATAATTATTTTGTCGGCATAGTAAAAATTATCCATATTCTCTATGTAAAAAATATAGATAATTGCTGTAATGTTTTTAAATAAGAAAATATAGTGTGAATAATTGTTATGTCCGCATAGTAAAAATTATCCATATTCTTAATGTAAAAAAAGTATAATCAATTGCTATAATGATTTTTAAATAATAAACTATAGTGTGAATAATTGTTATGTCGGCATAGTAAAAATTATCCATATCCTTTATGCAAAAAAATATAATTGATTGTTGTAATGGTTTTTAAATCATTAACTGTATTAGGAATAACTATTTTGTATTATTTTAAATGGTCAAAAATTCTTAATGTAAAAAAGTATAATCAATATTGCTATAATGGTTTTTAAATAATAAACTATATTATGAATAATTGTTATGTCCGCATAGTAAAATGATCCATATTCTTAATGTAGCTAGAACGACTATAATTGATTGTTGTAATGATCTTAAAGTCAATAACTATTTTGAATAATATCTGTATTGTATATATGATCCATTTTTTTAAATAAAAGAATAACCAAGCTTTCAAACACCAATGCTTAAAAAAAATGAAAACAACTGTTAGCGAAAAAGTGTCGTTGGAAAATGAAATTTTCTGGAGAGAACACACAGAATCACTCATAAAACAAGGACATTTTCTCTGCCTGGCAATTCTTGAAAAATCTGACATGATCTGGAAATCTTACATGTTCAATCTGAAGAAAGGTACACTGAAATTCTTACTCAACTCCTGTTTGGACACCCAAATGAGGGAAAATCTGTATCAAAACTTTGTTTACAGGCAGGTGCTGAAATGCAAACCATATTTAGAAAGATATACTTGGAGGCACAACACTCTTATTAAATATATCACTGGATTAATTGATATTGACTGATTTTTGATGTATGCCGACATCCCGTCCCATGACCCTTCCAGGGGGAGAAACTGTTCGCCCTGAACTTCCTGGTCACCAAATAGAAACCAGAGATGGAATTTAAAGAATTTGAGCCGCGGTTTAAATCCGCCAAAACCCGGTTTAAATTACGCGCCGGCTTAAATATTGAAACATTTGATACAATTTTAAGTGGAACCAACCATATTTAAACCGCGGCTTAAATCTAAACCGCCGCTCAAATTCTTTGAATTCGGCCACAGATATAGTAATTATCGATAGAATGGAGGAAAAGATGGGTATTTTTGAGCTTACTGTCCCATTGGAAACAAATATTAAAAATGCCAACACTCAAAAGATGAACAAGTATGAACATTTTATCACGGATATAACAACGAGGGATGTGTTTGTTCACCCTTTTGAAATCGGCTCAAGAGGACATATCAAATAAAGCAAATCTAAAGAAACTGCATAAGTTCTGCAAACCCAGGAATGTGTGAAAATCTATCAAGCCTTGCATTGCTGTCATCATGCCACATTTTTTAAAAACGAAAAACACTACACTGGGACCAAGAAACTTCATTTCTGAAAACCCCCTCTGAATAACTAAACTATATTCATGCGAATTAAATTGTAAACTTTTATTTGTTTAATTTCAATGTAATTTTGCTTACAAATATAAATGATGATATATATATATATATATATATATATATATATATGATCTATAGTCCTGATGTAAAACAAGTATCATAAATTGTGGTCTTTAAATCATTTTTATGATTTTTACTGTAAAACAAAACTCGGACACAGTTTTATATCAAATTCTTGAGACAGTGACATCAGATATAAATATTATGAAATATTTTTAGGCTTAGCTTAAACCCCCTTTCATTTTCATTTTACCTAAACAGTCCCTTTAACTTATGTACATAAAGGTATAACAAAAATCATTTTTGTTGTAATTGTTTTAAATCATTAAAATTATGAATAATTATTTTGTCTGCCTAGTAAAATTATTATTTCCAATGATCCACGATTTGTAATGTAAAAAATTTAATTAATTGTTATAGCATGGTCTTGAAATCATTAACAATAGCGTGAATGATTATTATGTCCGCTTGGTAAAAAGATCAATTATTTTTAATATAAAAAATATAATTAATTGTTGTAATGGGTTTTAAATCATTAAATATAGCGTGAATGGTTATTATGTCCGCTTGGTAAAAAGATCAATTATTTTTAATGTAAAAAAATATAATTAATTGTTTTAGTGGTCTTTAAATCATTAACTAGTATGAATAATTATTTTGTCTGCTTAGTAAAACTATAATTTTCTATGATCCATGATTCTTAATATAAAAGAAAAATCATTAATTGTAATAATGTCTTGAAATCATTAACTAGTATGAATAATTATTTCTATGCCTAGTAAAACTTTAATTTTCTATAATCCATGATTCTTAATACAAAACAAATATCATTAATTGTAATAATTTTGTCTGCTTAGTAAAACTATAATTTTATATGATCCATGATTCTTAATACAAACAATATCTATTTTAGATGATTGTAAAGTACAGACAGAGTGCTTCTTACCTGGATATGGCTTCCCAGGGAATGATATAGAAGGTATATAGTGGATTAGTTTTTACTATTAATGTTATATTGTAAAATGGGTTGGCTAGTTATGTAGGGTGGAATGGTTAGTTGCAGGGTGGAATGGCTAGTTGTAGGGTGGAATGGCTAGTTGTAGGCCCTTAGGCAGCTGAAATCTATGCAACCATATTCTTAATATAAATGAAGCGTATTTTGAGTGAGGGGAGGAAGGCCAACCACAACAATTCCTAGTCCGAGCCACATTCTCATCATTTTCTCGTCCGAGCCACCTCGAAATCCTTGTCCTTTCAAAAATATTTTTTTTAAGTGTCCAATCCTTGAAGATAAGAATACTTTTTGAAAATCTGTCCACTTTAGGAAATATTGAATTTTCTTTTATAATTTGTGAAAAAATGTATATGCTCCCAAAACGATGTTCTATAAAATAAACATCCGTCTGCAGTAGCTCTTTTTCGCGTAAAATGCCGCAAATTATTTTGAAATTCAATAAAAACAGCTGTTTCTATTCTTACACTTTATTTTCGCCCACATTTCCATAATGCTTTAAATACTGTTTGAATTCATAGGTTTAAGACGGATAAATTGTAGCAAATAATTTTAATAATTTATATTAAACATTATTTTCTCCTTGGATATAATCGTGAAGGCAGAAGTGATTTGGTACGAAAACAAACATTTGCCTTATTTGTAAATATATCAGAAATCAATATTTTTTTATATGGGTTGAAATGTAAAAAATATAGCCATGTTCAAGTTAATACTTTGATATCATTTTGAAATATGAAAGTTAGCCATTTTGGAGGCAAAAGAGGTTTAAGTTTTAACCTAAATGACATCATTCTCATGGATTTGAAGATTCCAACATTATAAAATCATTGCAAAACTTTATTCTAACCACGTAGAGAATGCCCTAGCGTGGCCAGATTTTCAAAAAAGGATTTTGAAGTGGCTCGGACGAAAAATCGAGGAGAATGTGGCTCGGACTGGAAACTGTTGTGGTTGGCCTTCGTCCCCTCTCTGTGTGGATTGATGAATGTGCTGCCAGATTACGACCCCCTGGCAGATCAATAAAAACCCCTAAAAACACGAGATTTGATCGTTACAACCCGATCATGTTCTGGGGACAAACAAATCTCTTTCTGTTAAAAATCTTTGTTTAAAAGAATAATTTTTTTTCAGGGATGCCATACACCACATCAACCCCTGAGGAATGTAGTTGCTACTGTACCAAACTTAGGAACCTAACTTCATAAGTTTGTCACATGAGTTTTATATATAAAAGATTATTGCTATGATGAATGACATTTTATAACCTTATTAACCAATGTGTAAATCGCACATCTTCAAAAAATTGATCATTGTGTCTTTTTTCCAATTTGAATATCCATATTTTATTTTGGTCTTTAATATGTAAACATGTTTGTGCACATTAAAGGTATCTTGTTTATTCTATTCCTAATTGATAATAATGTAAGGAAAAAATATCCATATTGTTGGATAGAGAGAAAATTAACATGTCTTAATTATGAATTATTAAAAAGCAATTTTTTAAAAAAATATCCCTAATTTGACTTTACAGAGATTTAGTGGAAATCAAACAGAACTGGAATAAATGCAGAGATTTAAATGCTACAAATTGCCTGGTCATCTATCGAAACTGCATTATGCAGCTAATTAAACACAGTAAAACAGGACAGCCAGAAAACAAGAAGATTGGAAAATGATTAACTGCATTCTGCTTTGAATACATGTATCAATAAAGGAATTGAGTATGTGCCACAAACATAAGTTTTCGTATCCCTATATCCTTGCATGCAACCTTTCAAACTTTCAATATTTAACCTTACCTGGTTTTTAGTTTGAAATATGTAATGTCTACGACATTGGTTGCAGAGATATAGGGATTTAAAAATCAAAGTTTGTGACAAAGACTGAATTTTTTTGTTTTATAAAAAATCCGAAAACAATTGTTAAAAATCCCTTTTAACCGTCAAGCCTAGAATGAAGTTTTGCATCAGTGAAAGCTTAAGTTTTACTTGGAACATGAACAATGATTGCTATTGCAAGAATAAAATTCCGGAAAATCTGAAAGAAAACCCCGAAAAAGAACGTATCTCAGGGATTATTAACTGTTCCTCAACCAACATCGACTTTTCTGCAATTATACAAAATGGTAATATCTTTAATAATATTAGATTGTTTGAAGACCATTTAGCACGTCAAACTAAAGTAAATTTGACGTAAGATTATAATCAATTATCTGTTTTCAATCATAACTAATAAAAGGAACAAGAATTTTTTGACTAATATGTAACCAGATAAAGGAATTAAGTCTTTGTAACAAACTCTAATTTTCTAATACCTATATTTTTTCCACTTTGATATTTCAAACTAAGATTCTTTCATCTAAGATCTACCAGATTGGGTTGTAAAATCATGGTTTGTGACAAAGACTCAATTCCTTTGCGTTTTTATATTTATGCCGTATAAATCAAAACAAGAGGAGTTTCGTTTCGGGGTTACAAAGTTGCGCCAATAAAATAGAATAGATTTGATTATTTTCTTTTAATTTGTTTGCAGTGTTTGCAGTGTTACAATAAGTGTTTAAAATGTCAAAAATTACCAAAGGCAGCTCGATCTAATGAACACTCATTTCAACAAAGGAACTGATTTGTTTCCCCCCTTTATCTTAGAAACCTGATGGTGTACCACTTTGATAATTCAAACTTTGACTAATTAATCTAACAGAATTTATAGTTTGAAATATCATAGGCTTACACCATCAGGTCGCAAAGATATAAAAATCAGAAAATTTTAGTTTGCGGCAAAGACTCAATTCCTTTTATATCTATTTGATGAAATAGGATCGCTCCTCTAAATTCACAGAAAGAGCATAAAAATCCTGATTTTCTTATCCCTATATCTTTGCAACAAAATGTCGTAGACCGTCGATATTCAAACTAGATAAGATAAGATAAGATAAGATAAGATAAAGTTTATTGCTAAAATAAATGTATCTGTATACAGATAGAGTTTACAATCACAAAATTGATGATTATATTAACAGTACAAGTATAAAGCAATTAGGTGGAAAATAGCTCTTGGCTGTTTTGATTATTTTTTCCACCTAATTTTATGAATTTATCTTTAAAATGTCGAATATAGAAAACAGGAAAATGATCAGAAATATCGGAAACAATAATGAAACTATGAATTCTGTTAGTATAATGTGAGATTGCAAAATAAAATGTCCTCACGATCAGATTGCAAAGATATAGGAATTATAACACATTTGAGATTCTGACAAAGACCTGTTCCTACAGTAAAAATATCAGTTTGGAAATAAAAATGGTATTTATAAATTCTAATTCTTCAGAATAGAAATTAAATACTTTCCGAGAAAGCCCCGAGGGGTCGGAATACTTTTGAAATTACGAGATATAACTAATTAATATGATTCTAGATTGTCCTGGAGTAAAGTACTGTTCTGAATATGGAGTTCAATACGATGGGAGTACTATTGTAGAAGGTATTTAAAACCAAGAGGAATTTTAAAATTAATCCTATTTCTGCTGGGGAAGGGGGGGGGGTGATTTATTAGACTTTAAGCTTTTTGGAAAGCCTATGACATAAGGAAATAAATTGCACAAATTTTGCAAATAATTTGCAATCTACCCGCCAAAGGAAGTTGCACATTTTAGTCTTTATTAATTACACATCAGGTTATTTAAAATTTTGCAAAAATATTGCATATTTGTAATGGCATGGTCAAGGGCCTCTCAAAAATTTGCAAATTTTTTGCAGATTCTAAAAGTAGAATACAAAAGAGCTTTCCAATGATGTATCATTTGTCATATTTGGACATAAAGCGTGGGATTTAGAGGTGGAGGGGTCAAATTGCCCCTCCCCCCCAACGTATCCTAATTTTCAAGTACCCCAGCAGGGATAGGGTTAAACAAATCGTTTAAGAAATGTTGATTCTCTTGTAGAATACATAAAAACCTTAATTATGAGTTCAGTAACTTAATACGTAAACCATAATTGAAATTTCTTATACAATATTCTATTCTTTATTCTGATTATAAGATATCTAATGTTATTATTTTAGTTGGAGGAATTGGAACTTTTGATCTTTGTGGATGTCAATGTAGTCGAGTCAGGTAAACCTTTTAACGTTTTTTATATAATTGTTTCTTTAATACTTTTTTTTATAGGCTTATATTTTAAAAACAAGAGATGAATGTCTAAGAAAAAGCATGAATACTTTAAAAAGTAATAGAATGTTTTCAGCTTTTTTTTTGTCTTCAAAATCGATTTATTACCTTTTTTCAAAAAGCATTAAGTAATAAGTTTTAAACCTTTTCGTTTACCGAGATTTGGATAATTTCAGCGCATGTTCGCATTTTTTCTGGACCCACGCTGGAACTTGTTTCCTAAAACAAGATGGAGGAGAGAATATTTCTGTTGCTCCTCATGGTATTTCTGGACGCATTCAGGAAGAATGTACTTCTCCTACAACAAGTATAACTTTCTGCAGATATCTTGATTTGACAAAATATATATTATATTTGCTAGGTTTTCCGCAAACTTCTATTTTCCATTCCCTATATCTTTGCAACCCAATGTCGTAGACTTTAGATATTCCTAACTTTAGATTCTGTTAAGTTGAATAATCTAAATTTGAAATATTACAACTGTACACCGTTAGGTTTTAAAGTTTTAGGGATCAGAAATTTTGAGTTTGTGGCAAAAATTCATTTTCCTTATTAGTAAAATCTACAGTAATGCGCTTTTAGGACGCAAAGCTTTTAATTAACTATTGCTCTAAAAGTCGGTCATATAAAATCATTTTTAAATTTTGCCGGATTTTTCTTTTAGAATTGGTGCATTTTCAACTTTTGATAAAAGGACTGATTATACAGGTTGTATACAGACAGAGTGCTACTTGCCTGGATATGACTTGAGTGGTAGTGATATAGGTATACACATTAAACTAAAGTAAATTGTCTGGATATGACTTATGAGGGAATGATATAGGTATACACATTAAACTAAAGTAAATTGTCTGGATATGACTTATGAGGGAATGATATAGGTATACACATTCAACTAAAGTAAATTGCCTGGATATGACTTGAGTGGTAGTGATATAGGTATACACAGTAAACTAAAGTAAATTGCCAGGATATGACTTATGGGGGAATGATATAGGTATATACATTAAACTAAAGTAAATTGGCTGGATATGGCTTATGGGGGAATGATATAGGTATAAACATTAAACTAAAGTAAATTACCAGGATATGACTTATGGGGGAATGATATAGGTATACACATTAAACTAAAGTAAATTGTCTGGATATGGCTCATGGGGGAATGATATAGGTATACACAATAAACTAAAGTAAATCGTCTGGATATGACTTATGGGGGAATGATATATAGGTATACACATTAAACTAAAGTAAATTGCCTGGATATGACTTATGGGGGAATGATATAGGTATACACATTAAACTAAAGTAAATTGCCAGGATATGACTTATGGGGGAATGATATATAGGTATACACATTAAACTAAAGTAAATTGCCAGGATATGACTTATGGAGGAATGATATATAGATATACACATTAAACTAAAGTAAATTGGCTGGATATGACTTGAGTGGTAGTGATATAGGTATACACATTAAACTAAAATAAATTGCCAAGATATGACTTATGGGGGAATGATATATAGGTATACACATTAAACTAAATTGCCTGGATATGACTTATGGGGGAATGATATAGGTATACACAGTAAAAAGTAAATTGCCTGGATATGACTTATGGGGGAATGATATAGGTATACACATTAAACTATAGTAAATTGCCTGGATATGTCTTATGGGGGAATGATATAGGTATACACATTAAACTAAAGTAAATTGTCTGGGTATAGCTTATGGGGGAATGATATAGGTATACACATTAAACTAAAGTAAATTGTCTGGGTATAGCTTATGGGGGAATGTTATAGGTATACACATTAAACTAAAATAAATTGCCTGGATATGACTTACGGGGGAGTGATATAGGTATATAGTAAATTGCATGCAAGGTTTAAATATTTTTTCAATTAATACACCTCTTATTGAAGAGCTATCGATGTTTTGAATTCCTTTTATATAATCGGTTAAATTTGCTTTTATATGATCGGTTAAATTTGCTTTTATATAATCGGTTAAATTTGCTTTTATATAATCGGTTAAATTACTTTTTCATACTTGTGAATGAATCCAAAACGGGAGTAGCTAAGAGGCATAAACTGGCATAAGCCAATGACGCATTAATTAGTAAATTACACCTTGCCTTCTGTGTCCTATAAGAATAAAGTTTTAATTTTTCTAGAAAACATTACTTTTCAGGCTCTCCAACTTACACAACTACCCCTGCAGAGTGTAGCTGCTTCTGTAGCAAAATAAGGAAACTAACTTCATTTTATCAATTTAATACTTTCTGTAGAATATTTCTATTTTGAAGTATATGTTTGGCAAAAAAAATTATTTCAAAATTTTATTTTAAGGATTCCATTAAGAAAACTAATCTATCGCCTCAAATTCCAATTTAATCTTTAAATCATCGCAGCCTGAAGCCATAAAATCTTTTATATCTTAAATATTGACTTTTGATCTCACAGAATCATGTCTACAGTATCATGTTGCAAAGGTATAGGGTGTGAAGCAAGAAATCAGATTTTTTAATTTTAATGAAGTTTTGGTTTTAGTAAAAGTTTAAGTTTTACTTGGTCCCCAACTGGGAACTGCTGGTGCAAGAATACAATTCCTTCAGAAAGTAGAAATGATCATCTAATCTCAGGAATATTCAACTGTTCCTCAACCCATGTCGATGTTCCTGCAATCACACAAAATGGTAATTAATTAATTGACATTAAAAATTTGATTTTTTAAATAGTATTTGTTTAAAACAAAAAATATTTTTCTCACTTTTTTACCCTTTTTTAGACATTTTTTCCAACCCTCCCTAACACCCAAATTATTAACTTTTTTTTCTATGAGCTGGCCTTGAAAAATTGGGCTATGAGCCTATGAACATGCATTTCAACCCTATATCTATTCTCTAAGGCCTATTTCTAGGCTATACGTATATTCAGACCCCCCAGCCTTTATAGGGCTAAAATAAAGAACAAAGTGATCATATATTTAATTCTAGATTGTTCTGAAGAAAAGTTTTATTGTCCTCAACATGGAGTTGACTCTAATGGGAGTACTATAGTACAAGGTAATTATTATAGATTAATACGGGGGTTTTAAATGAAAATTTAATTTCAAAATGCAGAAACCTAATTTTTGTGAAAAAACTCATATTTTAATTTTTGTTTTGTTTCAGTTTCCAGAATTAGCAGCTTTGAACTTTGTGGATGCCAATGTAGTCGTGTCAGGAAATATATTTATTCATAAACAAATATTAATTATTAGGCTTTTTGTGCGCTCCGCGCCCATCCTCTATTTTAACTTTTTAATTGTGACTGTAGCTGTGAGAATCTTTTCTTTGTATAAAACAAAAACAAATTAAAGTTCGCGGATTTTTAAACAAATTTTTGCGCATTTTTTAGATTTCACAAAAATCAAAAGTTTTGACGTTTATTGGATACAAACAGACACAGACAAGCAAGTACATATCTAGATTTTGCAATGGTGACTGTTGTACCAGGTTACAATACTTAATCTTTTATATTTAAGTGACTGCACAAACTATTTCTGGACTTCTGATGGAACCTGTTCTCTGAGAAACGATGAAGGTGGTATGTTGATTAACCAAACTTTTGATGGTATTCTTGGTAGAAAAATGGAGAATTTCTTGTGCCCTACATCAACAGCATCAACTTCAACAACATTAGGAACAGAAAACTCTACAACAAGACCAACAACAAACATAAACTCAACAACAAACATAAATTCAACAACAACCAAGAACTCAACAACAACCATAAACTCAACAACAAACATAAACTCAACAACAAACATAAACTCAACAACAACTCCAACAACAACCCTAAATTCAACAACAACCATGAATTCAACAACACCCATGAATTCAACAACAACCATGAATTCAACAACACCCATGAATTCAACAACAACCATGAATTCAACAACAACCATGAATTTAACAACAACCATGAATCCAACAACAACCATGAATTCAACACCGACCATGAATTCAACAACAACCATGAATTCAACAACAACCATGAATCCAACAACAGATATGAATTCAACAACAACCATGAATTCAACAATAACCATGAATTCAACAACAACCATGAATTCCACAACAACCATGAATTCCACAACAACCATGAACTCAACAACAAATCCAACAACAACAATGCATTCAACAACAACAATGAACTCAGCAACAACCATGAATCCAACAACAACCATGAATCCAACAACAACCATGAATTTAACAACAACAATGAATTCAACAACAACCATGAATTCAACAACAACCATGAATTCAACAACAACTGTGAATACAACAACAATCCTGAATTCAACAACGACAAGTACAACAACAATAACAACAACAAGAAGGATGAGACGATGTGAGTATAATAAATATACAATAATTTCTGACAAATAGAAAATAATATAAACTCAACTATGCCTGATACAAATACTATGCTTATGCCTGCCTAATATAAACCAAAATATATAAAAAGTAGATTGATTATTTGAAAGAAATTAAGATGTGTCGGCACGTCTGTTATTTCTATCAAATTAATTTCTTTTTAAAATAATTTTTCAAATAAACTAAATATTGCACTCTTAGAAGTGTCAGTTATAAGAAATGTAATGTAAACAATAAAAATAAAACTTTCCTTTTCCTTTTTTAGAATTGGGGGGAAGTAATCCTAAAACCTTTTTTTTTAAAGTTTTTAAATATTTTCTCCTGAAACACCTAGTTTTGTATGTTTTTGTTATATTTCTTTCTATGAGACTATTGAATCAAGCCTTGCATTAGATTTCTTTCTAATTTATTAAAAAATGAATTTAACACAGTTCTTGGCAGAAATTTATTTTCTTTTGCAAATGATTGTTTTGTAAATCTATCTGATCTTAGTAAAATTTAGTTAAGAAAAAAATGAAATTTTGATGTCCCATTGGACCAATGGACCATGCATGGAAAGTTCAGGTTTTACAAGAACTATCAAATATTAGAATAAATAATTTATACTATAATTTATATTATAATTAATACTATAATTTATATTATAATAGTCAATACTTCCTTAAATTTACTGCTACATACCTCTAATTGTTATTAATCGATCCAAAATGTTCCAAAGATTTAAAAAATGTGCATTTTTTGGGACACCCTGTATATAAGTATGTATATCCTTTTGTGTGTGAATAAATCTCTATAATATAATAATAATTTCTAACTTCCGCCAAAGAATTCAGTTAATTTTCACAAAAGCTCAGATTAAAAACTAATAAATTAATTTATATTTTACGTTGATTTCTTTTATTCAAACTAATATAAAAATTTCATTGGATTTCTTTATCAAACTAATGGTAATCGCAAAATATTTAATAAATAGCGAAAAATAATTTAACCGCAAAGAAAAGCTGAGTCACTTCTTGTGAACTTGAACCTAGAAGCAGTTCAACTACGTCTATGTGGTTCACTAAATCTGGTTCCAGAGCAGTTCCTTCCAAACTTGACTATCTTCATGTATGTCAGAATTTTAAAAAATTAAGTTTTAATTTTTTAACAAAAAAAAATTAACTCTCTGGAAACGCTAACAGCACTGCATGATAAGGCAGGGTGTAAAAAGAAAAGTGCATATGCTCAGCTAATCAGTTTCTGGCGGAAAGGGTAAAACTTACAGCAATTCCTGAAGAGCAGGGTGTAGCAAAATTGCAATAAAATGTCAAGGAAAATGTCCTTGTAAAATCTAAATACCACCTATCCAGTGCACATGCCCTGCTCAGCTATCTATGGCCTATTTTGTGGGAAAAATGGTGTAACAGCAATTCCTGTAGGGCAAGTAGCGGCAAAATTGTTGTTTAAATGTTCTAGAAAATATCCCTTAGAAGACATACATTTTCTATTTATTTTTATTTATTACAAATTATAGTGATCTAACATCAGACATTAGATACAAATTTATTATACTTAATTCTAAAATACATCACTTCACAGCAGAACACTACAACAAAAGTTTTGTTTTTTTTAAATTCATTTATCAAAAATTCCTCCCATTAAAGAAAAAAATAATCTTTTTCAGAACTTATTTTTTAGTGTTTTAAATTTCAGATATCCTTTTTTTATCAACAGAAAGTGAATCTTCCTGAAACTATGATAGTTTTTTTAAATATAAAAAATATTAAGTTTTTTATTTATTTAAAAACAATTATTGCCTAGTAGAGCAAAAGTACACCCTATTCCAAACACGTAAAACGCAATAGCAAGATGCAATATAGAAATCTTTTCCTGAAATATGAAAAACTTTTAAGGTTAGAATTGGTTAAGAAAACTGTACTGGTAGGTAGAGCCTCAATTTGGGACCAATATTGACGATTTTTGACGTTTATGATATCTATTAATAATTTGTGGACAAAGTGTGTAAACTAGAGCCTTTTATCATTCTTGCAGCTTTTTTTAATTTAAGTTTGAAGTTTGAGAATTCCTCAGATACAAATACATTTTATTCCTCAGATACAAATACAATTTATTCCAAAGAAAAAAAAATAAACATTTAGTCTTTGACACATTAAAACAAATAAAAAAAATGTGACAGTGTTAAAACATAATAGTGCTCATTTTATAGTTGTTTCCAAAAGAAATTTTAATTTTGATTTTAAGCATTGATTTTTATCTTAGAACAAGAGGAGTATGGAACCTATTCTCACACGTTTACATCTTTAAATTCTTTTCTTTTTAGAGGCAATAATCATTAAAAGGTTATTTTTTTAGCATTATTTGGCGGGGTTCGAACAGGCTTCTGCAGGGTTCGAACAGGGTTCTGCTAAATACCTGGGTTCGAACAGCATATTGCGGGGCTCATGGCCACATGCCCCCCCCCTACTCAAAATACTTGGGTGATGTATAATTTTAGTTTCAAATAATCCCATTAATTGAAATTGCAAGGATTGATGTCTGAGTATCTAGCTGGCCATCCCTTCCCCTACTTTATATCAGAGCAATTACACAACTTTAAATTTGAATTGTAAAAGGCTCTAGTTTACATCATTCGATCGGAAATTTTTAGTATTTATAAATCATTGGTCAGAAATTGATGCTCTACTTACAACTACTGTTTTTTGAGACACCCTTTATAGTTAAGAGTATCTTTTGTTTTGACCTGATCAGGTTTTTCCAAGTTAAAAACTGTATTAAAAGAATTCCGTATCTTGACATCAAAACCAGCCTAAACAATTATTAACTTAGTAAAAACTAGAAAAGAGGATTCTTTTTCATTTGGATTGAGGATTTATCATGGACTGCCTATAATCATATCTAAACAGGATTTATCATGGACTGCCTATAATCATATCTAAACAGGATTTATCATGGACTGCCTATAATCATATCTAAACAGGATTTATCATGGACTGCCTATAATCATATCTAAACAGGATTTATCATGGACTGCCTATAATCATATCTAAACAACAGAAAAAATTCTTTTCACGATGGAAAATTATGTGAGGGGGTGGGGTTGTAAATATTAAGGCATGTTTTTAAATATTCCACCCCTCTTTTTTTTATTAATTACCTGATTGCAGATTAAGATATGATTATTTAAATCATCCATCCAATTAGATTCTTTTGCTAAAACCCAGCCACTGTAATATGGTCGTACAGTTTCCTGCATAAAATGTATCTGGAATATTTTGGATATCTATATTAATCATGCAGAATGCAGATACAGCTAAAACTTGGCTAAGATATTTAACTTCTAAACTGTGCTTAGGATTCGAAATTGCTTCGTCGCTGCACTCAAGAGATTTCCATTAAACCTTTTCCACCATTAAATGGTGGATCGAGTCTTTTCATTAAAATAGTCAACATTTTTCAGTTTTTTCTCTAAAACAAAGGAATTGAGTTTTTGCCACAGACTCTAATTTTCTAATCAATATATCCTTGTACACCAATGCTGTATGTAGGCCTGTGATATTTCAAATTTAAATTATTTGATTTGACGGGTAAATAATAGTTTGAAATATTAAAGATGATCAAATCTGAGTTTTGGGCAAAATTCTGGATTCAGAATTCAGAATTTTCAATATCAATTAATTCTAATTCTACATTATGAATATTCAGGAAAGTATCTAAAATACAAATAATCAGCTTGTCGATTGAAGAAATGAATTTGGAAATTTTGCGCGCGATCCATAAGAGACCTTTCATTGGTCGGAATCTAATAGGAATATTCAAAAGGGAGGATTAAGAAGAAAATTAAAAAGTGTCGACAGTGGATAAACAGAGATTTAGCAATCAGGATTAAGGGAATCCATTACAAGATTGTCCAGCTCAGATCCTTTATTTAAAAGACAGATTCAAAGTCCGGATCCGCATGAAATATTATGAATCCTTAGCATTGTTTCTAACCTTACTAAAGTATAATATGGGCCGAGGAAGCAAGGCTAATGCCGGGTCTGATTGAATCTTCAGTTGTATATGATCCTTAATATTTAGGTAGAGAACAAGTTAAACAAATTGGACATGGTAAATTATAGATAATGTAAAATATATTGTTTGTATACAAATCTAGGACTGAGGACATAAATGCTAATTTAAGTTTAAGACAATGATATGAAAATTTCGATGATAAAACGCGTATAACCTGAAAAGATCGTATACAGAAAATAATTCAAAACCCCTTAGAGTTGTTAAATGTATAATGTAAAATTTAAGTGCATGTTTTTAGGCCTGAGGTAAAATTTTTTTTGAATCCCAGTATCCTGCAAAGATACTATTGGATAACTCCCTCTTGGATTTAAAAGTTGCCAGACTGGATATAAAGATTAGGCGTTTTAGATTAGCTCAATTTCACAGAAAAGTTTTGACCACCAGCTCAATCTTAAAATTATCAAAACTTTAGAAGTGGAGATTCTTTACTTATGTAACCCAATGGATGGACTATATAAAGAACTGCTAACTGAATTAATATTTGTCGATCAAGAGAATTATTTGTTTATATGTTTCACAAGGTAGTTTATGGCAACAAATAGAAAAAATCTGAATTTTTGATAGAGAAATCCAATTTTATTTTAATTTAAGTTGCATACCTTGGTTCCCAACATTACATTGCTTTGTTCCTTTGCAATTAATTTCAATACACTTGATAGAGTTTCCTTAATTATAAAATACTATATATATGAATATTTATATCTATATAAATAATTAGTTTTAATCTCTGTTTGTTTGTTTGTCCGATCATGACTCCGGAACCCCTGGACCGATTTGCCTCAGATTTTGTTTGGGGAACTTGGGTGGCCCTCGGGAGTGTTCATAGCTTGGTTTTGAGATTCTTTGTTTGGGTCTACTTTTATGCTGAAAAATAGCTGAAATCGTAATTTACGACCAAGTGCGGGTTAAGAACGCAAGGTTCACAGGCAAACAGATATATAAAGTTGTACTATTTGTTTTTCTGTCTATTTGTTTGTCCGATCATAACTCAGGAACCCCTATACCGATTTGCCTCAAATTTTGATTGGGGAACTCGGGAGACCCATAGGAAAGTTTTCAGCTTGGTTTGAGATTATATATTGAATGAGTCAACTTTTATCGGGAAAATTTAGTTTGACAGTAAAATCGTTCAAGTGCGGATAAACAGCGGGAGTGACTTTGATGTAACCTGGGTTCCAAATCTATATATAAATTTGGCTTGTCTGTCTGTCTGTTTGTCTGTTTGTTTGTTTGTTTGTTTGTATCCAATAAACGTCAAAACGGCTGAACCGATTGTTTGTTTGTTTGTCCGATCATAACTCAGAAACCCCTTGACCGATTTGTCTCAAATTTTAATTGAGGAACTCGGTAGAGCCACAGGAATGTTCTTAGCTTGGTTGTGTCGTCTTTAAACGGGAAAAATAGCAGAAATCGTAATTTACGACCAAGTGCGGGTAAACAGCGGGAGTAACTTTGAGTAACATGGGCAACCCAAGCTAGTATATGTATATATACATATATATCTATATATGTATATATACATATATAGATATATATTTATATATACATATATATCTATATATGTCATTAGTATGAGAAATTGTTTTGATTTAAATCAACATTGTATAGTGTTTCCTTGTTTTAAACAAATTACAACTTTATACATATAGGTGTCATAATAATGCGATTGTTATGGTTCCTGGCTGTCCCTAAAAAAATTTTGTGGGGGGAACCTGAGAAGTCCAAAATCTGAAATTTTCCAGTGTTTTAACATTCCAAGGATTTGCAGATTTCTCTAGATAATCTTTTATCCACTTGTTAGCTGGAGTTGAGATAACAGTCTAAAAAAAATAGTTTTTCAACAAAATTAAAACATGAAAATAATTTGTAATAATAGTTTTAGCATATTTACTTTCCGCTCAGTAACAACATGTTGGGCAGAGTCAATTTCTCTTTCATAAACAGGGGTTAGCATCACAGCTCTATAAAAATAACACCAAATTAAAATGAGGAACTTTTTTATTTTTTATTATTACTTAGCATCCTGCAAATTGAAGTTATTTTTGCCCAAAATATTGGACAATAAAATGCGGCTAAGATAATTTTTAAAATTGCTACATTTGTTCCATATTTTATTTCTAACTAAATGATTGTTACTCAAGAGCATTCTGGAGATTTACGCGCATAGAGCTTATTTTTTATTTAACTTTTTTGTCTGCCTTAACAGGGTGTCAACTGTGAAACATGTTATGAAGAACTATTGGATTAAAATGAGAAAATTCAGCAACTTTAATGCTCAATTCCATTCCACCCAATTATGATATATCATTTTTGGAGTAAAGTATGCAGCATGATAAGTTGGACGGAATTGCACGCAATTTCTTTGCCTTTATAGTGCGCAATTTTTACGGAATTGCGCGCAAGGGCTCGCAATTTCGCGCAAGTTAAATCCAAATGCTTTGGAAACCCTACTCTCGCTACGTCTCCGAGCCTCTGAAATTCTGTCTCAACCCTCAGTATTCTGATCACCAATATAAAAGATATTTGGCTTTTACATCCATGTCAAAAGACGATATTTCAAAAAATCTCAATATGCTCAAAAAAGTTTTAATGATACAGAAAGAATTTGTATTAATAAGTCTTCGTTAATGATATTTTTGAAAAAAAAAAGCTTTTGGTTATTGTAAAATATTGTAAAATATTGTAAAAGCCAAATATGTTTTATCGGAGAATAGAACCCTTGACATGGAGACACAATTGCAGATGGCTCGGAGACGGTGCAAGAGTAGGGTTTCCAAAGCATTTGGATTTAACCTGTGCGAAATTGCGAGCCCTTGCGCGCAATTCCGTAAAAATTGCGCACAATATAGGCAACGGAATTGCGTGCAATGAATCCAATTTGAACTTTGGGAAAAGTGATAAATGTGGCAGGTTAGCTTCTCTGCATAAGAATAACCGAGCAGGACTGCACAAAGTTGAATAATGTTGATTAGCATTGTATGCTAGAATCAAAGTTGGTAAACGTTTTTCCCAATCATTTTTCCTTATTGGCTTTTTTGCTTTCAAAAGTGACCTTATAGTTTTGTGAAATCTTTCTATTGGGTTACTCTGATGGTTATAGGGAGTACCCCATGAAGTTAATAAATGAACTATATACATATTTTAAGATCTAAACACAATGCACAATGTAATTAGTAATTACATTATATTTGGTTTGGTTTCTCAGACTAGAGGACGACATTGAGATCCTCTACACTATTATATAAATCTATATGGAAGATGATATATAGAACTCTTTAAACAATTTTTAAAAAAGAACATTTTTAAAAAAGAAAATATTTTTTTTTACCTTAGATTACAGGAAAATGCTAAAGTAAGAATTGTTGAAGCAAAGGTCAAACCCAGCAAAAATAAACTTCCAGACAAAACTAGATGATATTAAGTATTTGTCGGTCATTTATACAGTAAGAAATTCATGATTTATTTTTGCAAATATAACCCTATAATGATTGCTGGAGGGGCGTTTTCCACCTCCCTCCCCCCCCCTATTATTTTCCCTTGGAGTTATGAAAGGGGAGTGTGGTACATGTCTCAAGTTCAGCTCATGAAACAAATTAGATAGAGGTTACATAAGGTGCATGCTAAACAAATTCAAAAGGGATGTTGGGAAAATGTTGAAAATTATTCATTTTCTTTTTTGACAAACATTAACATGTGACCTTTAGTTTTCCAAGGGCTTCTCAAATAATTTCATTTTATATCTGTAGCTTAATAAATTAAAAATTAATAGACTCTCTCTTCTTGATTGTTTGAAACAACAACCAGCTATTTGACCGACCTCTATAATATCCTGTAGCAAATAGCATAGCAATCCCCATATTTGTTAACCTGAGCAAACCTAGATACTTGTTTGATAGCCATGCTTGTGTCCCTGTGTGGCATTTAGAGCCTGGCTTAATAGCTTGTTCGGTAGCTACGCTTGTGTCCCTGAGTGACATATAGAGCTCGATTAATAACTTGTTTGATAGCTATTCTTGTGTCCCTGTGTGGCGATTAATAGCTAGTGTTTGTATTGACACCAATTGCTAACAACATCGCGATTATTGGAAGTAGTGTTGAAAAGTGGCTGCACAGTTCACAAAGTGGAAAACTCAATGAGTGAGGAAGAGAGAGAGTGGGTGGAGTGTAACCTAGATCTGAGTTACGTAGATGGATTAGTGAGTGATGAGGACAAAGCTGTGATTGAAGCCTTTCTGAGTGATGAGGAGCTTTTAACATCCATGGTTAAACACAGTTTTTCAACAAATGGAATAAGGGGAATTATGCAGTAAATATCAGCATGGGATGGGAATGGTAATATAACAAGAAGTGACATTGTCTTACTCAAAACATGAAGTGAGTCCTAAACCAGAAGTCAGAGAAAGAAAACTGGAAGACGAGAACTTTGAAGCAACCATGTTTTGGAAGAGCAAGAATCAGGCCAGAGAAGAATAATTCAAGAAAATGATCTTAGTCTATCCGACAATATTCAAACTGCACGCATAAGGAGACAAGTAAAGAAAAATGAACAGACTTATGCTGATTTTAGAGTCATTGCCGAGAGTTTAATGATGAACAGGGAGAAAGAAAGCTAGAAAACAAGAACTCCAAAAAATACCAATACCTATAGAGTGGAAACAAAGCTGAAAGAAAGGAATCAAGACAAAGAGATAAGAAGAAAACAAGTAAAAAGAAGAATTGTTGAACCAAGGAAGTTGGTAAAAGAGAGAAAAATCAACAAGAGAATGAAGGCTGAGAGAAAAGGAAAAATAAGAAAGCTTAAACTGAAGTTATGGAAAACATGCAAGGAGAATGATACGAAGAGCTATTCTATAAATCCAACACTATATGAAAAATCCACAGTTGTATCCAGAACAAATACCGAGTTAGACAGGCACAGCAAGGACAGTAAGAAAGATAATCCAGTTCCAGAGAATCAACCAGAAACTTCAGAGAGACAACCAGCAGACAAGAAAGGCAAGTCTTACATTTGTGAAAACAGTCCCCTTTAATTTGGGATCGATAATTACGGACATGTTTGATAGCTATGCTTGTGTCCCTGTGTGACATTTAGAGCTCGATTAATAGCTTGTTTGATAGCTATTCTTGTGTCCCTGTGTGACAATTAGAGCTCGATTAATAGCTTGTTTGATAGCTATTCTTGTGTCCCTGTGTGACATTTAGAATTTGATTAATTGCTAACAAGATCGTGCTTATTGGTAGTGGTGTTGATAGTTCACAGAATTGTAGCCGTGTGGATATTGTCCTGGTTGACTTTGCTAGCAGACCGATGTACTTGGATAGATACATTTTAAGGACTTGTTATGGAGTAGGCATTTACTACAATCTTATGCATCAAAGGAAAAAATTTTCCTAAATTTCTTCAGATCATATTTAAATTTGAAAAAAGCTGGAGCGCTTTAGTGTAAGTTGTTTTTAAGTTATTAAGTAAAAACCCTCACTGGGGACCCCCTTCCCCCCCCCCCTACCAATCGTGATAGGGTTAAATTATTGGAAATATAATGTTACCTCTTTTATTATTATTAAGAAACCAGGTAGGCATGGCCTCAGCATTCATTAAAGCAATCGGGACAAAGAAGGCAAGAATTTTATCTGAATCCTTATTATGAACAAATAGTAATTGAGGATTTAACAGTTTTTGGGCACACTATAACAAAGTATCCCTAATTATGGAGGATTTGCAGTAATACTGATTAAAAATGGATACTGGATGTAAAAATTTTATCTGAAGAAGTCATATATCAAGTGACAATATATGATTTGGGTTCAGAAAACAAATCATCCTTACAGCGCATCTTAATCACTCTGATAAATATATTATGGACTTGAAAAAGCCAAGATTGAGTGGAATTACAAAGCATGGTTGCACACACACAATATATTTACATTATAAGGATAAAACGATTATTGTTGGACCAACTAAAACAGATATAAATACACATGATATTCTTCTAGGGGCAAATATATTTCCATTCAACTCTTATCTTCAGATACTTCATGCTGACTGACTTCATATCGGGGCCTAAGATGGACGACGATATTCCTTTCACTGCCGGCAGATGATGCCGTTCCTCATTTCCCCAGCATCATATTATTCCTTAACTTCCCTATTTCTCTAGATAAGAAAGGGTTCAATACTCTCCGGAGTTTGTTGTCAGGCTGCCTATACTCCAGGCTCACTGCACCCTGCGACCAGCTTGGCCTTATCTGTTCTATTTCTGTTCTGTTTTATTTAGTTTTGCATAAATACTTGGAGTTCAATACCCATGGACTTACTCCGGACTTATTTGGCTTTATAGATTGCATTTATTATCCATCATTTCCCTGCCTGGGAGAATGAACTTATGAGCTTATGTAAATATGGCTAAACCCTTGTCAACACTATTCTATGGATTTTTATCTGTAAGAATTGTCAAACTTTTTGAAATATAATGAAAAGCTGCATGGGACTATCATTGTAATATCTTGCTGTAATATCAAGTGACCCCGCATTTAAAGATAGTAATGACCGATTCAATGGTAATTTTGTTGGATAAAAAATGTGAAAGATAACTTAATTTTTCAAGATTGTAAATGGTTAAATTCTTATAATTCCTACTTCACTTTCCTGCAGCAGAAAGTGAAAGTGACTCTCACAAAAAATCCAAGGTTTCAGACAAAATATTTGGTGTTACCTTCAAATATCATACTTCAAGGGTGAGACTTCAGAGACGATTGTATGGAATTTTCAAAATCTATTTTCTTTCATTCATAGTTGCTTGAAGTAGGCAAAAACTGGCTTAATTTTGTGATTAATCATTGATTGCAGAAACCAAAAATCAAGCTTTAAGACATCATATTTTTTAGGTTTTTAGGTCTCATCCTTTCTTACTAACCCTTGTATCTTCCCAAATATTCTTGTGTTACAAATATACAAAGAAATGTTGCACTTTATTGCAGTTTATACAATTTCTGGATTTTTTTTACCTGCCTCAGCCCAGTGTTTCCAGTACGTTCAGTAACAACCAATATTAAGATAAGAAAAAATCCAGATACCAAAGCACTGTAATGGTTTTAAATAAAATAAGTCAGATAGAAGGGTAAGGGAATATTGGGGGCCATCCCCTTCCTGAAAACCAGGGAGACGTCCTCCCAAAAATAAGGAGTGTAAGAAGAGAGAAAAAAAGATGCCGTAAAACTTTGTCCCAAAATCTATCAGTCAGGAAAGATATAGCGCATGTTTATAGGTTGAATCAATATATTAGGAAGGTGTTAAACTAACCATGCTAGGTATTTTTTTTAAACACAGTTTTTACGTAGAAGTTTTAAACATAGATAATTAATCATGTACAACGTACTGCAAGTTTACAGAATATTGTGATACCCGATATTTATTACAAACGGGGGGGGGGGGGGGGGTAGGAAGAAGTGGCTGAATAATGTGGTTAATCAAACACTTATTTTCAATCATACAGTATCTTCAATCTTTCAATCATACATTCTTGTTTTCTACTGTCTGTCCTGTAACATCCCAGCATAATTCATGGTGTACAGGGCAACATACAAGATCATTGACAGATTTGCATTCTTGTACAGAAACATAGTCAATATACCCTCTGAGAACCTCATGTCACTCTTCTCTTGGCCCATCATGTCATTCTTGTCTAGGCTTATCCTAAGACCTTTCCTTTGGAACATTCTGGCACACCATCTTGGGAATGTTCTGGTAAACTGGAGTATATTCATCCCAACCTTTTTCTTTGGATATCTCCTTGCACTGCATAGAGATCACTTCATAGGATACCATTGCAGACAGGATTGTTCACTAGGTTGCATTCTCCAATTCCTTCTCTTGTTCAAGAACCTTTCTGTCTACATTGCTGGTCATTTTCAACCTTGCACTCAGTCCCAATGTTGCATTCCTTCCTCAGAATATATATTCTGAGATTCCTTCTCATTAGTGACCCTTTCCATGTACTTCTGCATGCTATTGCACTCCTTCTTGTGGTTATAGGACTGGCTCCTTAACACCACCTGACACAGTTGGTCTCCAACTGGTTCTCTTGTATCATGTTGCAGTCAGCTGTACTTATTCTTGAATCCCGTCCTATAATCCTTCTCTTCTTTGATGGTATACTTTGTATTTTAGTCGGTGTTGCACTGCTATCCATATTAAGTCTGGCACTTCTTTCTATACTCAGTTTGACACTTCTGCTTGGGAACCTTTTGGCACTTTTGTTCTGGAATCAGGGAAGTTTTGAACACTTGAACAGTTTTTCACTCTTGTTTATACTGAATATGACACTTAGTTCTTGCTGTACACTTTCACTCTGTACATCTTTTATGTGTCTACCTCTTGACTCCATACGTTGCTGCTCCAAGTGTCTTCCCTTTCTTACTGCATCAAACTCTCTCCCCAGAGTTATTGTAATATATGAGAGAAAGGGTATTTTCTCTTATGCTGGAAGGGCCAAAACTTAGTTCATCCTAACCAAATATTAAGCGATGTATGATACAATTAATTTATTGATGATAAAAATAACAAACGAGTCTTGATAGGAGTTATTCGGGAAATAAAGTTGAGGTTGAGTTCCGACTAACAATCCAATTTTCTCTTTTACTCCTTGATATGAAGGTTTGTCGTCAACTGCCTTTGGTTTCTGTGCAGGCTGACCTGCTCCTTTATTTCAGGAATCTCTGATGCCAACAAAATCCCAGGTAAATGCACCCTGCCTCTTTACTCGGGCCCCTTCCTGATGCGGGTCAACCAACTTGAGTTTCCCGCCACATTATATACAGATTAGAGAACTTGGGATATATATTTTTATCCCTGAATCATTATCAAAAAGATCACTATGACACGAAAGTGGTACATTATATCTGTCTCCAGATCTGTACTTGAGTCGGGTCCCATTGACTGACTGCTCGGACCTCACTGCATTCTGTGGTTTAGCTAATCCTCTGTGCTCTTTTTCTGTGCGTTCTCCAAACTCAAAACCTACCAGAAGAACCCAGATAACAATATTACTATGTGTGACATCATTTCAGAAACTGTCTCACTGCTTCTTGTTCTATGTGTTTTCTGAGACTGGTGATCTTGGTTTGGTTCTTGGCTGAAACTGACCCTTACAAGTCTGTCATCATTCTTGCTGGTTGTCTCTATATACACACTCTCTCCATCCTGTTCTCGTACCTTCATCTCTGATGTAGTTATTCATATTAACATTGTTCTCATCTAGAGATGTGAGGGTAGGGGGTTTGGAACCTGTACATTTTCACAACTGTAAGACTTGCTCTTATTCTCTTCTTATCAGCTGGTTGTCTCTCAAAACTCTATGGTTGATTCTCTGGAACCGGATTAGCTTCCTTACTGTCCTTGCTGTGCTTGTCTAACTCCACATTTGTTCTAAACATTGCTATGGGGTTTTCATGCGAATAGTTCTGTGCATCATACCCCATTTCAATTCTCTCTCTTCTATTTTCCTTTTTTTTTCTTGTTCCTCTCTTCTGATAGAATCTGCAATCTCTCTCCTTTTCTTTTGCTTTCTTTGCATCTCATGATCTTGATTTTTTTCTTCAGAAGTTTTTTCTGCTCTAGATATTTGTTTTTCTGTGTTCATATTCGACATGTTTATCTTCATGTATCATTTAAGGGATGCATCAGGACTGATAATCTAGACAGCTTGACACCTTCCTTCTTTTAACTTAATTTCTTGGTTTAACATCTCGTTTTCATTTATCTTGAAGCTTTCATGAATAAATGTATTCTTACTTTCTTCTGTATTGTATTCTTGTATATTGACTGATGACTTATTATTTTCCTCCCGAACTGTTAGTTATTGACCTGATTCTGGATTTTCTGAGGTTTTTGTAAATAATTCATCCTATCTTTTAATCTTTTATCTACATATTTATGTTTCTTCACATATACGCCTTGTATATTGACTGATGACTTATTATTTTCCACCTGAACTTCTAGTTCTTGACCTGATTGTGGTAACTCTGGTAGCATGGAATTAATGAAATCTTCTTTCTACGATTCCGGTGGATGATTTACTTTCTTTTCCAAACCTGGCTTTGGCACTTCCAGTGTTATGATGTAATTCTTGTGTTAAAAGTAACTTTGTGATTTAATCCTTTTGACCACCTATCTTTATAGACTCAATCTTTTCTTCACTCAACCAGAGCTTTCTCTTCATCACTCAACATGTTTTCCACTCTGTCCAACCAATCTAGATAGGCTCGCTTTTCTCAGCATAATATTCTCTGGTGTCTTCACTACTTTCCTGTTTCCTATCTAGGAATTCCTGCTTCTGGCAAAATTCTCTCTGTTTCCATCTTTCCTCATCTTTTACTTTTGCGAATCTTTTAAATATTTCTGTAAACTCCTATTTCACATCTTTCGAATGCTAATCCTGTGAGTAAAAACTGTATTATCTGTCTCCTGGCTGGTCCAGTGATGCAGGACTGCAGCTTTCTCTTTATATCTTCATTTGGGATTGTTTTCCATTCACATTTCCTCAGATTAGTCTCAAACTTCTTGCACCATTCTAATAGTTCCTCCAGGTTTCCATTATGTTCAGGAGAACTTCTCTATAAACTCTAGTATTCTTTCTTCAATATTAGCTTTGGTCTCAGCCATTTCCATACATGTATTATCATCTGATTTCCCATCTTTCTTTACTCCTTCTAGATGTTTCATGCATTGTTGATTCTTGTCCGTCTTATTTTTTTGCTCTAGTATGGTTTTCACTTCTTCATCTTATTCTCATTTTTAAATTCTTGTTTCAATCTCTTCAGCAGGGCTTCCATTTCCTGTTGTAAAAGTTCTTGTTCCAATCTCTGCTTCAGGGCTTCCAATTCAATGCTTCTGATTCTAACAATTCTTTGAGGTTTAAAGTTAATAGACATTATTACAATTCCTACGTTATATATATCACATGATTAAGGCGCTACGACATCTGCTCTATTTCCATTTGCTCTATGGCCATTTGCTCTAGTTCCATTTGCTCTATCAAGTCATTTGCTCTATATGTCATTTGTTCTATACGTCATTTGCTCTATATTCAATCTGCTCTATGACTAAACACATCATTGGCTCTATAACATAAAAATACACTATAAAATAGCTTTTATTGGAATTCCTAAAAGTGACTTGACTATGAAATGCAGTAATAAGAGGGGTAAAAAACCTAATATGTGGTGAAAACTATATTTAGCTTGGTCTCACAATATGCACAAATGCCAGACAAACAAGACTATCTCCAGGAAGTTGGTGGAATAATGAAACTGTAGGAAGAACTGTAAAATGTAAAATTGTAAAAATATAGTTTTAATATGATTAGATGTTTGTAAAATATGTTTATAGAGCAAATGACGTGATTACTCATAGAGCAAATGGTTAATAGAGCAAATGGAAATAGAGCAAATGGCCATAGAGCAAATGGAAATAGAGCATATGTCGTAGCGCCCATGATTAATGCAATAATGTTACACATTACAGCACATTTGAAATAGGCCCATTCAAGATGTGCATATTTATGGATAGGATAGATATAACGTAGTTAAGTTATCTCTCCACATGTTTATAAATTGAATGTATATACTAAAAAAGGATTAAGCTAACCATGCTACGTATTTATTTGAAACGCAGTTCAAATGAATAATGATTTTTACGTAGAAGTTTGCAAACATAGATAATAAATAAATGTACTTGTATAAGTTTACAGAATAAGTTTGGTCCATCACCATCACCGAATTTTAAGAATATCATGTTACCCAATATTTATTACAGCACTACTTATTAAATCAAAAATGAAGTTTTTTTTATACAAATCAAAATATTGCTAAAACATTTTCAACCTTCCACCCCCAGCTGGTCATGGTTTTAAGCTAAAATTTACCAAATTCCCTGTATAAATTCGGGGGGGGGGGGGGGTTAATATCCTAATATCCTATATTAATAGAAGAAATATAATAAATAATGGAGGCGTCCTAAAATCAAAATTTGATTAAGAAAATCAATGTGCCAAGTATAGGGCAGGGCACGTTCCAACTTTTTCTAGCCGTTTATTTAACGGGTAGTTCCAACCGTTAAAAAAAATTTTGTTAGCGTTAATTTTAAAAGTAAGAACCATAGAGTAATAAACGAAGAGGTAAAGCTTACCTCAGATGTACACAACCGACCTCCCTATTAATTAATTAATAGAGTGGTCGGTTGTGTACATCATGATATGTTTACGTATCTAGCACTGTACACTTGTATTGAGTGTGATCGTATTTCTTTGGGGTGGTAAAATGTAGATAATTGAAAATTAGTACTGATAATTAGATTGACACTTAATACGGTTTGTAAACACAGGATTTTATGTTCAGTTGTTTGCATATGTTTATATATGACCAAATTTTGCATCGTGAAAAAGTGCAAAAATGTGTGTTTTTTTCAAAATACCGAAACATTGTGCATTTAAAGATCTGTAATTCCTGAGTTTGAGCTTAAATTCGTCGTTCAAAACTCCTACTTTGGGGGTGGATACGTTTTCAGAATTAGTCTTTTTTAAATTATTAAATAAAGATAACGGAAAATAAAGTAAATATTAGACAGTAATCTAATTAAATGGTAGGAACATATTTCTCCAAAGAAATTTTTTAATAAATCAATTCAAAAATCGATTTTTTCGTTTTCATTAATATATTGAATTTCTTATCTTCTTTGAATTTATTCGCAGATTTCTTCAAATTCTTCAAATGTCGTCTTTTCAGTAATAATTCTGGAAAATCTGCGAAAATCTTTGTGAATAATGAGAAACAAGAATAATGAGAAGATAGAAACTATTAATTGAACAAGATTACTTATTTTCGATGATAAGAATAATTTTTATTTTCTCAACATGTTCCTATACATGACGTCTGTAGTTTATTGTAGAACTTTTTTTACATTTTATGTCGTCGTTATTTAATAATTTCAAAAAACTAATTCTGAAAACGTATCCACCCCCCAAAGTAGGAGTTTTGAACGTCGAATTTGCGCTCAAACTCAGGATTTACAGATCTTTAAAAAGTTTAATATGTCTCAAATAAATCCGAAAGAATTTGTCCACACCACTGCATACTCAGTTCAACTACCTTACATAGCCGGTCACTCCCTTTAAGTAGAAAAGAATGAAATAACAAAATTAACCGTTTTTTAAAAATTATTTATTTTTGAAAAACGGCTAATCCGTTTTGTTACCGATTTCAAAGTTAACGGTTTTTGTCGTTCGTTACCGGACTCTTTAATCAATTTTCGAAAACCTCCGTTAATTCCGTTAACGAAACTTTTCCCAGCCCTAAAGTATTTATATGTAATCCTTTGTATGCTTGTAAGGGTCTGTTAGCGTAGTCTTAAGAGCATTTCGATTTGCGTGTCCTTTATCAATAAATATCCTTTTGATGTTTTTTTTCAAATTAACTTGAAAATTCACCTAACCAAAACTGCTATCCAACTGTTAAGATCAAACACCTAGAGAAATAAGTGTAATACAGTGACCCTTTATAACGAATACATCGGAAGAATTTATCAAATGTCGTCTTGACAATTTTTCAATGAGTTTTATAATATATTACGTAAATTTAAGTATTTGAGAAAATAAATAAATAGCCATGAATATGCGGAAACAGTTTGAAAGAGTTCCATATAACCATTTAATTAAAAAAACTAAATATCTGCAACATTCCATTATCAGAAAGTGAAGAATACGACATTTGATGAATTCTTTCGATGTATTCGTTATTAAGGGTTTCACTGTAAAAGCTGTTCTTTACACCATTCTTGATTAGAATGTTTTTTAAAAGTTTCAAAATTATACCTGAATTATGTTCAAATACGGAGACGTCCTCTCAGGGTACTTTAAAAATATTTCCGTAAATGTCAGTGTTTGAAAGAACTTGAAACTAGAAGCTGTAATCAATATTGATCAACATTTAATTTAATTTAAAAATTTAAATAGAAATCCTTCATTTTTGAACACAATTCCTTTTGAACTTACTAAAGCATAAGAGATAAATAGGTTCTAAAAACAATTTCCAACAAGAAAAGTTTATTTTTTTACTCATTTTCCCAACATGGGGTTCCATGTTCGCAAAAAAGTAATTCCGCATTAAACAAATATCCTATGATTGAGAATAAATGAAAGAAAGATAATGATAATTCGGGTTAAGAAGGGCCAGGGGGAACATTGGTTCTTATAAGATACTAAGTGCATGGCGTTGCCCGTGGAATATAAAAAATCGAATATAAAAATCGATTTAAAAAATAGATATTTTTAATAAGAAAATGTCGATTTTTTTGGCCTATGTTACCCCTAAGGTACCCATGGGCCATGAATTTTCTCAAAAATGTTCAGTCCGTTCGGTCCAGCCGTTTGGCCAGCTATAGCGAACATATATACATCATACATACAATATATATATATATATATGAACGAAGAGCTTTATTACAGTTAAACCCTCAATGAGCCAAACATCGAAAGAATTTATCAAATGTCGCCTTGACAATTTTTCAACGAGTTTTTACTATTTTACGCAAATCTCAGTATTTTCGCAAACAAATAAATAGCCATGAAGATCTCCACATATTCATTTAATTAAAAAAACTGAATATCTGCAACATTCCATAATTAGAAAGTGAAGAATACGACATTTGATGAATTCTTTTGATGTATTTGATATTTAAAGGGTTTAATTGTATATAGATTGTAAATCCATATTTTGAAGAATATAAATAAATAAATTTTATTATTTTATCTGTACCTTTGATATCCAATTTGTTGTATCTAGACCTACTGGATGGGAGTAAGATACAATACTATTTCTGAAATCATCTTTCTTTAATTGTTTTATATCTTCTGTATATATATAAAGTAGTAATCTCTGTTTTCCCCCCTCCCCCTTACTATTGATAAACTTTGCTGTTTGCGAGTGTGACTGATATTTCAATTTTAATATGAATAAAGAAGGCATATGAAATAAAAGCAGTGAAAGTTTTTCTTGTTTTTACTTGTGAATTGTGAATTTCCGAAATTTGAAAAGAAAAATTAAAAGGTTTGGAAGTAATTTTTCAAGTTTATTAAAAACAAAAACAAAAAAACAGAGCTGTCAATTTTTCATGGATATAATATTAAAATTATATAAAACTATATTGTTCAAATGAATCATCTGAATCTAAAGAATAACCTTGATTCTGTATAGGAGATAAAACCAACACCTACTTCTGCACTTCCATACGCGACCTTGAAATTGATTATATGTATTAGTATTTTTATTTAGAGGGGGTGTTCGCAAAAATGAAAGAGTTCGTATAGGCTAACGTCGAAAAATATTCGATGGTGATCGCCACTAATCTTACTACTTCCATCAGTTGCGTCTAAGGAGAAAATTGTTAAAAACGACTCATAAGAAGACTGAAGAACGTAGCGTTTTTTAAACTACGATACAATCTTAGGTATTAGTCATGTTTAACCATTTTCTCTTCATAGACGCAAGAGATAGAAGTAAGATTAGGTTCAATCACATCGAATATTTTTCGACGTAAACCTACCCCTTTTCATTGTTCGCAAACACTCCCTTTAATAATACAAAATTGCAAAACAAAAGGAATTAAAACTTCTTTTAGCGCCATTCAAAACCTAGAATAATAAGTCCCATTCCAAAAAATAGAGCATTTTTTATAATTTTGCAGAACGGTTATATCTTAGACTAGCTGGACTTGCGCCAAAGCATGCCTGTACAAGAAGAAAAAAAAATCAAAACAAATTCAACAATATCAACGCACAAATTCTCAGCACTTGTTGTACTGTTTATATAAAAATAAGTAAACATTTTTAACCTGTCCTATTACACCATTCCATTGTCGGGTTTCTGGGTTTAAAGACCCCCAAGTATTGTTACAAAATATCAGTTCAATTTTTAGATTTCTTTTTTCTAAAAAAATTATATAGTTATATATAACTGAGATATAAAAATAAAGAAACTTAAAAGATATTTTCAGAAATAAAACATTTTTGAAGCATCTTCTTTTTTAAATAAAAGATATATACATATATATCACTCTCACTGGTTCTCACTATGTATATATATGTATATATATACAAAATGTTGCGCGCTAATGTTGTTACATTTTCTTACACCTTTTTCTTCTTCTCGAAGTATTACGATGAAATTAATGCGCTAAAATTAAAAAACATTACATCTTTCTATCAATACTTTATTTGGATTATTTTTATTATTTGCAATTTTATATAATAAATAATCATACCTATGTAACTATTTAGATAAAGACCTTCATATGTCCTCTGATCACACTCCTCTTTCGAGCTCAAGTTAAAGAACGGCTTAATGTCGTTGTAAGCAATTCTAGAATTTGTTACTGAAAGTATATTCTTAACAAAATTTCACCCCCCCCCCCCACAGTGGGGTATTAGGGGGTCAGCAAAATGACTTGGCTTGGTCGCTTAAGAATTATTTTGAAAGAAGTCTCTAAGTTTTTTTAATTTTTTGTTTCTGTTAAGACGTTCGACCGAAAACCCGCTATTTCATTAAAAACCCTTAAAATAGGATTTTCATGTTCAACACGCTACTCTTAATCTATTTATATATTTAGATTATCCCGAAACCGCTGTATGTGCTTTCTTGTACTTTAAAATATATACTTTTTCCCCGAAATAGTTTTCTTTAACAAAATTACATCTAAATATTGATATATCATAATAAATCAATGCAAGCTACAATTGATACAATGTTTGTAAATGAAAAGATTATCAGAATATATTCATTTTGCCCATTCTCAACATGAAACAAGAGACAAAATCATTTTAAGATGAATATTGTGACAAAAACCAGTGACCCCTCCCCTTACCCCATAAAATACCCCACTGTGCNCTCCTGGGAAGTATCGCAAGTAAAGTTTTGACATTGTTAACGCAAACAACCGCTACTAAACCTCCATATTTTATTGTCGTCTTCGTCAGTTTACCTTAGTTTCCGGTTAGCAAAAGCTTGAAGATGATTCATATCAGTATTATTTCTAAATATCAGCTTTGAATAATGTTTTGACCAAACACCGTCAACCCATTCTCCATGACGAGTTCTAGGATATGTTAATTCATTATTGAAAATTCTATTTGCTGTTGTATTTTGAGGTGTCCACTCATTTGAAAAGAGCTTGCCCGATTCTAAGCTAAGATTATTTATGTGACAGGTATCGACATTTTTCTAATTTGAATAATGTTTCATTCTGGCAAATTTCCTCCATTGTTTCTGTAGGAGCAATTTAAAAAAGCTAACCTTTGAAGAGATACAAATTTATATTTCATTATGTCTTGTTCAGACAAATCGTTGAAAGATACCGCTGTGAATTAAACATGTCACTCTACGAAGGGATGGCCAGTTGAAATAATGTCTAGAGTCACTCTAGAGTTACTTTTCTGCAAAGAAAATGCTAATATTTTATAATAAATGATTCTTATAAAAACATAATATTTTATGAAAACAAAACTAGTTCATTTGAAGCACATATCGTGTAAACATGATATTCTGTAAACCTGCAGTACATTGTAAATTTTATTAAGACTTATACATAATGACATTATTAATTGAAACTGCGTTTCAATTAAATACATAGCATGATTAGATTAAATCATGTGATATATTTAAATTACATTGTAAGCATTTGTGGAGATAACTTGACTACGTTATATCTATTCTCGCTAATCTTATAAATATGTACATTAAACTTTAACTGTGCGGTAAATATGTAACATGATTGGCTTTATCATGTGATACAGACAACGATGTAGGAATTGTAATTACATCATTTCACGTTAACTTGTAACATAAGATATTTACATAAAGTTAGTTTATAGAGTAACTCCATACTGTTTACTGCAAGAGAGTAATCCTGAAGTCCTGTTTTGATAACACAGGTCGGTCAAAAAAACAATTCTAGTTTATTAGATAATATCCAAGCTACATGCATGTAGAGACAAGAAGAGAAGATAAAACAGAATTAAGCGAATTTTAGAATCATTGCCAATAGTTTAATGATTAATCTAAGTGAAAGAAAATGGGAAAACAAGAACTTCAACAAAGGTCAAGAGCTAATATTGCTGAAGAAAGATAATGAGCGATCAGGCATCAGACAAGCTGTGGAACCAAAGAAACAAGAGAATGTAGATAAAACATTGAGAGAAACAGTAAATGATGTACAGGAATCAGGTTATTTCATCACGGAAAAACAGATCTAGAAGGGGATACAGCAGGAACAGCTAAAGAATGGAATAGTAAAATATCAAATATGAAGAAAAACAGCAGGGTTCAAGATCAAGAGAAACATCTAGATCAGGAGAAACACCATGATCAAGAACAAGGGCATTACAGTGAATGAAGTCTAAAATAAAGAGTCTGAACTCTCTCATGGCTGTCAAACCTAACCTCATATCTGGATGAAAAGATATACCTTTTAAGAACAAGCTCTATTTTATCAATAATCAAAAACCAACACCTATAGAGAGGAAACAAGGTCAGAAGACACAGATAAACAAGTACTTAGAGTGGAAACAAGGTCAGAAGACACAGATAAACAAGTACTTAGAGTGGAAACAAAGTCAAAAGAAAGGAATGGATTTTAAGAGATAATAAGAAAACAAGATAAAGGAAGAGGAATTGCTGAATCAAGGAAGTTGGTAAAGGAGAGAAAAATCAACAAGAGAATGAAGGCTGAGAGAAAGGGGAAAGTAAGAAAGTTCAAACTGCAGATAAGCAAAACGTGCAAGAAGAGTGATCCAAAGAGCTATTCTATAAACCCACAGTTGTATCCAGAACAAATACCGAGTTAGACAGGTACAGCAAGGACAGTAAGAAAGATAATCTGGTTCCAGAGAATCAACCAGAATGTTCAGAGAGACAACCAGCAGACAAGAAGGGATTAAGAGCAAGTCAGTTGTGAAAAAACAGGTTCTAACACTCTTACCCTCACAGCTCTAGCTGAGAACAATGATAACTCAAATGGAGACATAGACAGAGAAAAGTACAGTTGGAACAGAAGAAAAGGAGATTAACAGAGTCTGAGAAGAAATCAGAAAAAAACGTGGAAGCAAAACTGGAACATCTTGGCAAGCTAGAAAAATACCTCTTCAGTTTGAATGAAAGTTTTAGGCAAGATAAGGACGAGGTAAAACAGAGATTAACTACGAGAGAACAGAGATGATACCGGTACAGGACCATGGCATAGAGAGTACAGGACCGTATCACAGACATAGGAATAATAAGACATATTGCCAGCAAGCAGGAAAAATGAAGGATTAATAGCAATCAGCTTAAACCAGGAATCAAGCAAAGATCATCATTATCAAGAAATACATAGAACCAGAAGGAGTGAGACAATTTCTGCAATAATGTAATGGATCATAATGGGGTTATCATGGTGCTTCTGGCAAGTTTTGAGTTTAAAGAATCCTCCAGCCTGGAAGGAAATCAGTCACAGGTTATGAGTCCATGAATGTCAAGTCCTAGTCAGTCTTAAAAATATTTCCTGCCTGCCCATTGCAAACTGCTTGGTTCCAACAATCCTAGAAGTACAGACTCCGACCTTATCCATGGAACCATCATCTTCAACCTGACAAAACACCAAAGAATCATCATTTTTTTTCTTCCCAGGCATGACCATCTACTCCATCACCTTGAAGGATGTGATGATCAGCCTGGAACCACAAACACATATGCTTAGTGTAAACAAAAAATATGTAACTTTCTGTATTCTTTCCTTTTCCTTTTATTTCTATTCTTATATTTTTTTAGAATTGGGAGGAAACCTCTACTTTTAGAGGTTTTAAATATTTTTTTACTTTTTTTTGGATATCTATGTTTGGCTACCAAGGTTCCTTAGCAGAGATATCTTTTTGTGTCCGTGCTGCACCTGTCATCATCCGTGGAGCTATTCTATTAGCTGATCTTGATAGCCTGGTCACAACAATACATCCTTAGATCATTCCCTACTCCAAAAATTCCCAATGATCATAGAAACCACGAAGCGAGTCTTGGTAACCATTAATAGGAGAGTTTCGTAGATAACTGCCCCTTCTAGAGATGTCCACGTTTTGATTTTTCTAGATTTTAGCTTTTGTTACGATAGTGTTCATCAAAAGTATAAACATTTGAAACGTTATGTTGCACATTTAAAGCGCTGAATTGATAGTTTGTTAGATAGCTTTGCTTGTGTGGCATTTAGAGCCTGGATCAATAGAATGTTGGATAGCTACTCTTGTGTCCCTGTGTGGCAATTAGACCCAAGTGGGTTGTGTCCTGGTTGACTTTGATAGTGAATGGGTTGGACCTGGATAGATATGTGTCGAGAACTTGTTATGGAGTAGGTGTGTACTACACATTTGTATATAAGTACATTAGTAGTACATTAGCAGTATTACCTGACTATAAATGATTCTGCAGACTTCAAATATAAAGTTGGAATATCTCCTTAAATACCAAAAATCAACAAATAATGTTATCAGCAGATCCTTTGTAATTGTATATCAGATGAAAAACTTGCATAAAATGTAATTTTTCCATCTATTAAGTGTCGCAACATGTTTTAATTGTAACTTGAATAACACAGATTTGTTAGAAAAAGATCAGTAAAATTTTAAAAATTAGAAAATTAGTAAAATTCTGTTAATATAAAAACAAAAATTATTACATAGTTCTCTTACTATTACTGTGAACCAAATATAAATAGACAGATTACAATTAATATGTTTTTAATCTGATAAGGCTGACCGGTTATCTATCTAGCCTCAAAGGGTATTGAACCCTTCTCAAGTTTAGTTTTATTTTAGTACAGACAGGCCAGGACAAGAGCCTGAGATGAGATTTTAAAAGCTTAAACCCGACTAAAACCCGGTCTTTGCGTCTGCTTAGACCCAAGTAAAGCTCAAGTCAAGACCCGGGTTTTGGATGGCCTTGAGTTGGATAAGAACCAACCCTCTTGGGTTTTACTCTCTTTAAGGCTCGAGTCTTCAGCAGCTGAGGATTGTAAATTTCATAAAATCTTTTATATTTGTACATTTAAAATCTCGGGAATTATTTGTGGTGTCAAATTTTGTTAATCTTTATATAAATTTGGCTTGTCTGTCTGGGTGTCTGTTTGGGTGTTTGTTTGTTTGTTTGTATCCAATAAACGTCAAAACGGCTGAACCGATCGGGCCCAAATTTTTTGTGGGACATCTAGGGACTTCAGGGAAGGTTTATGAATCATCAAAATTTCAAATATTTGTCTCCATCAAAATTCGATCGTCATTAAATTTTTTAAAATTTTGAAAATCCGCGAAATTTTTTGTGAAAATCTGCGAATTATTTTTGTTTTGTTTTACGATGTACACAAAGAGAACATGTTCACAATTAATTTAGGATATGGGCGCGAAGCGCCCTCTAAGGCTAGAAAGAAGGGCGCGAAGCGCCTTAAATTTCTAGTTATATAAAATAAACATACTATGAAAATAATGTATCTACAAAAGTTTGAATTATTGAAATTTACATCTCCTTGTCACAGCTGATCTGACGGCAATCTGTCTGCTACAGAGAGAAAGCTTGCAAAACAGTCTCTCATTGGTCGAATTAGAACCAATCCTGACTTGGGTTCTATCTAAGCCCGAGTTAGGGTTTTAGTCGGGTTTAAGCTTTTAAAATCTCATCTCTGGAAAGGAGAATTACGGGAATATAAAGCCAGGGATGAAAGGAGCAGGGATCAGCCATATTGGATTCCCCACACCCAGTATTTATGAAGCATTGAATAGGAGAAGTTTAATGGAATATACGTTCGCTACCGCAGGCAAATGTCGTGTTGAATTGATCATTCAATCACCAGTTTGTATAGTTAACTTGTAAATATAGTTTTGTGTGTAAACATGTTTCGTTATTCCACTCTATCTTGGCCTTTTTATTTCAGCTCTTTTTCAAGTGTATATTTCTAAATTATTTAACGTTTTAATTAGTTTGACAACTTTATCGAAAACAAATTATTTATTTATTTCCTGTTGGTTTTATATCTTCGTTTTCATTTAATATAAATAATGCAGTGGGTTTGTATCCTCTAACTTGAACAGGAGCCTGTCCTAGACCCTGAATCAAGTAAACATTTTGTTGAAATTTTTATATCTATAAAATTTCAAAGAGACATCGGAAATAGTAGTGTTAGAAAAAATAAACACTACTTATGTGATTATAGAACAATTCTGGAATTTTAGATGTTTAAAGAATTTGACCGTTTGTGAAACATTTTGTTAAAAACTTAAATAATATATAATACTAGACTTTTAGGGCGCTTCGCGCCCATCTTAAAATTCAATTTTGAACTTGTTATCTTCGTGTGCATTGTAAAACAAAACAAACAAAAAATTACGTGGATTTTCAAAATTTTCAAAAATCGAATTTTGTTAGAGGAAAATTTTGAAATTCCCTGGGGTCACACAAGTCCCACAAAAAATTTGAGCCCGATCAGTTCAGCTGTATTGACGTTTATTGGACACTAAAAGACAAAAAAACAAGAAAAAACAGACAGACAAACAATTATAATACATATATAATTGGAAATTGAAGCCACCTTGTTGGATATTATGAAGAAGCATATGTTATGAAAAATAATATTATCTTTAATATCAGTGAACGATTTCCAATCCTCTAAAAATATCCTGGCTGAAGAAAACTCAATCTTTGGTCCATCCCTGTTAAACAAATCAATGTTAAGATAGTCTGACTAAAAAAATTCTAATTTTATTTTTCGTACCCAATACATATGAATAAACATTGATGGCTAAAAAGTTGGTATCCAACACCAGAATGCAGGTACATACTAAATAATATATCTACACAGTTTATTTTAAACTTTTTGTTTTACGAATAAAAATTATCGTGTTTCACTCATATAAAAACTTTCGTTTATTAACAGAGCTGCTTGACAACCAATTACAAACATTTCATGTAAGGGGATTTAACCTTAACTTAAAAAAAAATTTTAGAAAAAATTCACCTGATTTTATAAATAGTAACTTTTCATTTATTTAATTAACTATTTTTTGTTTGTTTAGTTACTATCAAATAAAAAATTCAGTTCGGTTTCTGTTAACTTAAAACATTTTTGTTCGATAACCACTCCTGTATGCTGAGTCCATTAGAGCCTGATCCAATCAGGATTCAGCCATGTGTTTGTTGTCTATTCTGAACCAATAGAAGTAGTATGGCGGTAACATCTATCGATCTATCTATCTCATTATCCAATAAGAGATACGAATCCTTTAATCGGCTCATTATCCAATTAGAGATACGAATCCTTTAATCGGCTCTATCAGTAAATGGAAATATTTACTTCTAATGAAACTATAGTTTTTGAGGTTGATGTTTATTTTTATATATTGTTTAATTTGTTATAATGTTTACTGCAGTTAAAAAAAAGATTTGATTTTAAACCATAACTACGTAAATAAAGCAGATATTGTTTTTTTTTAAGTTCTTTAAAGACATACTTTGGTCTGGGTTGACCCTTTATAGTTTCAACATAATCAAACCATTATTATTACTTATTGCTCTTTTTAAAGCAAAGTTTAAATTAACATTTAAGTTTTTAATTTGTTTTAAATATATTACTTTCCTGGTAAACTGGTGCATAATATTGTTAATATTATTAACACCATGTAAAGATTGTTCTGCGTGTAGAAATGAACTAAAGAATAAGAGCATTAACAAAGATATAAAGAACATTTCTTTTCTGAAAAGATACAAAAAGTTTAAAAGTTAAATATTTTTAATTGACAAGAAATTTATTTAATTTTAGTTTCAATATTTTCTAAATAAGTGCTTTAATACTGCATTTCATATACTTTATTATATCTATATACAAATTTGGCTTGTCTGGGTGTCTGTTTGTTTGTTTGTATCCAATAAACGTCAAAACGGCTGAACCAATCGGGCCCAAATTTCTTGTAGGACATCACGTGACCACAGGGATGGTTTGTGAATGATAAAAATTTAAAAAAATGTGTTTTAAAGGTTTTTAATTTTGTAAAAAAAATTTAAATTCTTGAAAATCCGCCAATCTTTTTTTTTAAATCCGCAAAATTAGTTTTTTCTTTGTTTTAAAATGTAAACAAAAGAACATGTTCACAATTTAAATAGAAGATGGGCGCGAAGCGCCCTAAAAGCCTAGTATTTATATATTTTAATACTTTTTTAATACTGTATTTTATATTGGTTCGCAGCACTATAAAGTTTGCAATGAATGTTCTGGATTATATTTTGTCTCCCAAAAGATGCTGCCATTTTAAGCATCAAACTTTCACTGTGCTGATATTAAACGGATAAATTACTATTTGAACAACAAAAAAATTAATTGCTAATCTCGAATTAAATCATGCTTAATCAACCTTTTTTTTTTTACAAGAACCGAAAACAAATATTTTAGAGTTTGATAAGAAATAGAATTAAAGTATTATGAAATAGATGAAAAAATAATTTCCAAGTTTCATTTGAGTTTCAAACATCCTCATGATGCAATTTGTTAAAACCAATCAATTTGTTTAAATTGGTTTAAACCAATCATGATTTGTTTAAAAAAACCTCAGTCTACAAATCGAAATCTAATTTAGTTCAATACTTCAATCAGATTAATGGATAAACTCTAAGTACAATGGTAAATATAAATGTTTCCCAAGTTTTTTAAAACAGTTTTCAAATGTTGCTGTTTTCTCTGCATGCATGCATACGTTTTTGATTGTAGATTTTTAAAAGTTTTTAAAGAATTTAATGTTTTTGGGGACAAAGTTTATCTCAGGGGAAATTAGTTCCAAAACTAACACTTGGCCCATTTCTAACAATGAGTGTCAGAAATGGGAAATCTGCAAAGTTATCTTTTTCAAGAGTTTATATCTTTAAATCCAAGACGAGTAGAACAAAATTACACCATATATTTATAAACATTGGCTTTCATTTTCGAACATACCCCTATTTTGAAACAATTACCAGATTTCAGCTCATGTCGCGATTTCGGAACATATCTTGGTTTTGAGACAATTACCGGAATTCATATCAATGTCAATTTTCAAGCATTTATGCACTTACGTAACAAAACAAGATTTTTTGATGAGGCATTGAGAAATCAAAATATTATTATCATTTGTTCTTAGAGTATAGAATTAACTAGAAATGCGGGAAACTGTTTGTTTAAAATGTTTGAAAATAATTCATCGATATTCTCTAATTTAACAGATAAAATGTGGAAACTTAGATTCTAGAAATAATTCAGAAATTAATTTAGTCGTCATAAGATAATTTTTCTTTTCAGTGATTTATTGTGTAAGTGTTGAAAGTTTTGTTTTGAATTGTGGATTATACTCAAAAACGGGAAAGTGGGTTTTGTCTCGAAAACGCGACAATGTTTCAAATTCAGGATATGTTCGAAAATGGAAAACCTGACATTGTCTTGAAAACGATCAAGAGATTTAATATAAATAGAACTCCTTTTTTAATTTTGATCTTAAAAAAAGTTTAAAATTGGGAACTGTTGTCCTTGTCTTGATTAATAAAATGTTGGTTATAGTTTTTGTTATCGACCATTACTCTGGATATGGGCCGGGATCCCAAAAACCCAGTCTTTCAATTTGTGCCCATTTCTAACAGTCAGTGTTAGAAATGGGCCAAGTGTTAGTTTTGGAACAAATGTCTCCTGTATCTGCTATCACACCATTTTAAAAAAGATTTCTACTTTTTGATCAAGATAATATTTAAAAGAATTTTGTAAATATCTGGGCTCGAGCGGTTCAGTCGTTTAACGGATTATAGAGAGTTCCACGCCTTGCACAATTAACATGTAGATATCAGATATATCAGCAACAAATATATTTTAATATTTTATTTTTCTAAAGAATAAAGTCGAGAAGATGCAATTAACTAAAAGGGAGAGTGAAATATATAAAAAAATCAACTCAGCTTTAGTATTAATTGAAATGACTAATAAGTTTCTGATTTATTTTTAAAATATTTCTAAGTGATAATCACATTGGTAATTTTGCTATATTATTATCTTATATATTCAAGTGTTGGTTTACCACATGGACATTTTCCAGAACATTTTACAGGAGTTTTACTACAACTTGCTCCACAGGAATTGCTGTAAGTTTGTCCATTTGCTCCACAGACTGGGTCATAGACAGCTGGGCATATGCACTGGTCAGGCGGTATTTCGATTTTACAAGGACATTTTCCTTGGCATTGTACACTTTTCTTTTTACACTCTGCCTGGCATGCATTGCTGTAAGTTTGACGATCTACTCCGCAGACTGGTTTTTTATATAATGGGCAAATGCAGTCTTCAGTTTTACATGGACATTTTCCAGAACATTTTACACCAATTTTGCTACAACTTGCTCTACAAGAATTGCTGTAAGTTTTACCATTTGCTCCACAGACTGGGTCATAGACAGCTGGGCATATGCACTGGTCAGTTGGTATTTCGATTTTACAAGGACATTTTCTTTGACAAAGAATAGGTATTTTCTTACACCTTGCCTCGCAAGAATTGCTGTAAGTGATGCCATTTTTTCCACAAACTGGTTTATAGTTCTCAGGGCATAGGCACCCTGTAGGTGTTACTGTTATATCTGGAGGTGCAGGTCGCTTCAAACATGTAATGCACTGTAGTACTGCAGGAAGTATCAGTATAACTCTTAATTTCATTATTTTATTCCTCCGAAAAGTTTAAGTTATTGTACGATATTCCTTAACACTGAATCTTCTTTGGTCTAAAATATAAATATTTTATAATGAAATATGAGACTTTAAAGTAAAAACATAATAATATAATCTAATCATTCAGCTAGCTATTCAACTGTGTTTTCTGATAATTTCATGCTAATTACAGTAGGAACCGAAAAACTGTGGAATAGGAAGACGATATTTAGGCAAAAGCAATTAAGTTTTAGCCACAAATTCAAATTTTCTAATCCCTATATCTTTGCAACCCGATGGTGTAAACGTTTGATATTTCAAACTACGACTACTTGATCAAACAGAGTTCATAGTTTGAAATATCTAAGATCTACAACATCGGGTCGCAAAGATATAGGGGTTAGAAAATCAGAGTTTGTGGAAAAACTCAATTCCTTTAAGTGTATTTAATTCTTTTACAAAGCAAAAGTTTTACTTGCGACTATTATGGTTGAAGGAAAATAGGCCTGTTTACACTGCACAGCTGCGGTGTCTCCCATATTCAATTATGTAAAGTAGTAATTTTTTAGTCTAAAATTTTCATCAAATTCAAGAGTTTTCTGGTTCTCACTATATTCCAGAGTTCTCTGGTTCTCACAATATTCCAGAGTTCTCTGGTTCTCACAATATTCCAGAGTTCTCTGGTTCTCACAATATTCCAGAGTTCTCTGGTTCTCACAATATTCCAGAGTTTTCTGGTTCTCACAATATTCCAGAGTTATCTAGTTCTCATTATATTCCATAGTTATCTAGTTCTCACTATATTCCAGAGTTCTCTGGTTCTCACAATATTCCAGAGTTTTCTGGTTCTCACAATATTCCAGAGTTATCTAGTTCTCATTATATTCCAGAGTTATCTAGTTCTCACTATATTCCAGAGTTCTCTGGTTCTCACAATATTCCAGAGTTATCTAGTTCTCATTATATTCCAGAGTTATCTAGTTCTCACTATATTCCAGAGTTCTCTGGTTCTCACAATATTCCAGAGTTCTCTGGTTCTCACAATATTCCAGAGTTCTCTGGTTCTCACAATACTCCAGAGTTTTCTGGTTCTCACAATATTCCAGAGTTATCTAGTTCTCACAATATTCCAGAGTTCTCTGGTTCTCACAATATTCCAGAGTTCTCTGGTTCTCACAATATTCCAGAGTTCTCTGGTTCTCACAATATTCCAGAGTTTTCTGGTTCTCACAATATTCCAGAGTTCTCTGGTTCTCATTTTATTCCAGAGTTGTCTGGTTCTTACATTATTCCAGAGTTATCTAGTTCTCACTATATTCCAGAGTTCTCTGGTTCTCACAAACTTCCAGAGTTCTCTGGTCCTCACTATATTCCAGAGTTCTCTGGTTCTCATTATATTCCAAAGTTATCTGGTTCTCACTATATTCCAGAGCTCTCTGGTTCTCACTATTTTCCAGAGCTCTCTGGTTCTCACTTTATTCCAAAGTTCTCTGGTTCTCACTATATTTCAAAGTTCTCTGGTTCTCACTTTATTCCAGAGCTCTCTGGAAAATATATAAAAATAAATTTACGAAAACATGCTACATAAATAAAAAGAAAAGAATTATTTCTACTTTATTTTCATGTGTACAGGGAAGGGAGTTCCTGTTCTTTCTTTAGTTTAAAAATAACTTGAATGAAGACGACATTGTTTCCAATACCTCAGATTGCTTCAGAAAATGACAATGTTTTCGGTAAAAGAATTCTATTTATTTTTTCCTTTTTTTGTTTAGTTTTTGCTAGAGTTTTAAAGAAAACCGATATAAGAAGGTCATGGTTTCATCTTCATGGTTATCCACAAAAAATGAGACTTCAACGACGACCTAAAGGTCTTTTAAATGGACCACCCAAAACTAAGCTTTTGGTGTGTGCTGCAGTGATTTGTAGTGCTCTGGTCAAAGAAATAGTGTGATTTAGTGGAGAGTGGACTGTAAGCGTGATTTCCAGTGACTGTTCATGCAAAGATGGCAATATCCCATTCACAATGGTACCCTTCAAACCATTATCTGATCAATAAAGTGGAATATATTGTCGGTTTTTTTTAACTAGAAAAGTATCTGATATTTATAATTCCCGTATGTATTCCTGCAGTAGAAATGTACCAGTCACTTTATTAAAGAAACCAAAACCATCAGTTTACAAATATTTATATATCTAACTTACTTGATCAGACAAAGCTTTTAACGGTTCCATTGTTAATCTTTGCAATAAGGATCATTCTAAATTATGCTTACAGTCCCTTTAAGATTTTTCCGTTTTTACTTTCTCGTTTCTTCTTAATACTGTAATATATAATACACTTTTCTTTTACACTTCTTATAAAGTCTAGAGGATAAAATATCAAGGTCATGTTTTCTCGGCAAAAGAGAAAATATATTATTGAAAGAAATCAAGGTTTGAAAGAACGAAAGTGAATGATTGTGATAAAACTTTATTTTATTGTATATTGGATAAATTCTTTTTTGTTTCTAGTTCATTTCATTTTATTCAGAAAAAAATATGCTTCCTTAACCTTGAGCACATTGGTCACTTTAGAGAACACAATATACATTAGGATACATGAGGAAACAGGCTGATACAGGAGGGTTGCAGGAAGACACAGAAGAATACATGAGGATACAGGATGATACAGGAGGATATATATGGATACATGAGGATACAGGAGGATACAGGATGATACGGGAGGATACATAAGGATACATAAGGATACAGGAGGATACAGGAGGAAACAGAAGAATACAGGAGAAAACAGAAGAATACAAGAGGATATATGAGAATACAGAAGATACAAGGTTCCAACAAAACTCAGGCGGATACCGTTTTTTTGTTTGTTTTTGTTGTTCTTTCTTTCTTAATGTTCTTCTCATTTTTATAAAGATAAAGATTTCACGGAGTGTGATTTATTGAAGATGGTCCATGTATAGGACCGAGGGGTACTCCCGCCACTCCGTGTATATAGTCCGTGAGCGGGGTGTATGTAAACGCATAATTTCAAGTTTTTACTCTGATTTCTCCTTCTTCTATACTCAATCCAATACAGGCTTTTTACAACAATTATTTCGACACCTGGTGTATTGCCGAGAGTAGCAAAAACCGTCTAAATAAGGCGTAAAAATTTTCTAAAAAAGGTTTGAAAAAGGTTTGAAAAAGGTGCCATTATGTCTTGATTATTACTTGGCGTGGGTACTAAGAATAGCATTATCTAAAACAGACATTTCAATAACTTCTCCATAGAAAAGTCCTGTATAGTTGTCAACCATTAACTATAAGACCTCCCCCCGCCCATCCATGTAATGTCGTCTTTAACCTAAAATCACCTCTCAGAGACAACAAACCAAACAATTTTAGCCCCGCTTCTCTTTGTTCTCCGACAACGGAGTCTAAACACTTTTATTATTGTGAACCCATTTCAAAAGTTAAGCAAAGAATATTTTCATATAAAGAATTAGTGGCTTTCGTTAACATTTAATTGTCATTCTTTTCAGAAGTTTTAATGTATAAAAACGTCTTAGGACTCCCCGACGGTTTTAACCTACAGATCCTTAAATAGATCGTAAGAATCTTTTCATTATAAAATTCGTAAACCATTGTAATAATTTATTTATCATTATACATTTCATTTTTTTAGGAAATAACGAGTTTTCTGCATTATCGGTTTTGATTTGAGGGTTATTCCGCTGTCTATCTGTTCATTATTGAGAATCTTGTTCCTATCCGACAACAATAGTGTATACGGACGGATGCCAGAACCGTACATTTTCAACATGTATGAAATTTAAATTTAAGTAGGAGTTCATTTTTTATCTGTATTAACTGGTCGACAATAAACATCACTATAGTTTGAGCAGAAGTAAATATTTCCATTTACTGATAGCGCCGATTGAAGGATTCCTAACTCTGATTGGATAATGAGATAGATAGAAAGATAGATGTTACCGCCATACTATTTCTATTGGCTCAGAATAGACAACAAACACATGACTGAACCCTGATTGGATCTGGCGCTAATGGACTCTGCATACAGGAGTTATGATACTTGAAGATTTGAAATGAAATTGAGAAGAATCAGAATGCCGCAAATTACTTCAAAGATTAAAGACTATCCTCAAATCATCACTCAATAAGTTTTCAAAATTTTAAACATTAGAAAATAATTCATTCATTCTCTTTCAGAAAAATATTTTAAGGGTAAACCGTTTAAATTGGGCAATGTCATCTTTGCCATGGAGTCTCACTTGAAATTACAATTACACTTCACTAAACCAAAACTGCTGTGTAGCATGAATATGACGAACAATGCAGGCTCTTTTCTGCCTTTTATTGTCCGTCCTATTCCTTTTATTGTCCGTCCTATTCCTTTTTCTCGGACTTTTTATGCGGGACATTACCTCCCCCTTTTAAGTGGCCCTTCATTTAAAGAGGGACAAGTCCGATTCGCAACGGTACATCTTAAACCATTAATTTTATATCTTAAAATATGTTGTATTCTGATAATTTTCTCCCGTTTGTTCTACATGAAAAATGTGTAATTTACTTTTGTAAAGAAATTTGTAAAGAAATGCCCTAAAAAATAATAATTTTTAATAAGATAAACATTTTAAATAAATAAAATATATATGTTGTCTATGGCCGGCCAAACGGCTGGACCGATTGAGCTGAAATTTGTTGTGGACACTCATGGGTGGCGGGGGGCGTTATAGGCTACAAAAAAAATTTCTCAAACATTTTTTATTTAAAAAAAAAAAATCTCATTTTACATTACAATAAAAACAGAAAACTGGCAAAATAACCAAATAAAGATTAATCTTAGAATCCTTTCATTTATTTATATTTTATTGATGCATCTAATCATCTAATGGTTACTAAACATAGGAAAGTTTACAGTTGAGAAGAGAATGGACTCTATATTTGTGTGTTATACTGTGTTTAACTCACTCAAAGGGTTCAGGAAATAGAATAATTAAGACCCAAAATTTCCAGAAAAGTCTATGTCACAAACTCAAATTTTGTAATCAAAATGTCTTTACAACCTGATGGTGTAAATCTGCGATATTTCAAACTTAGATTTTTTGATCCAACAGAATTGATAGAACAAAACTTCCCCACCCCCCCTCAAAACAAATTCTGGCTACGGGGCTGATTTAATCAATGCGTTCTTGTGATGCAAAATGAAGGACTAATTTTTTTCTCTTACATGTTTTTCTTTGTTTTAGGCCCTGTTAAAATGCGAATAAGAAAGATTAAAATAAATACAAGAAATATATGAATAATTTCATAATCACGTTCAAAACACAATTGATGCATAGTTTATAACTAAGGGAAGGGGGGGGGGGTTGGACCTCACCTATTATGACCGAGAATTTTAATCTTTTGAAACCTTTAAACAATAATTATTTCAACTTTTTTCTCGTGCCTATCGAAAAAATATTACACTTTAGAAACCGGACCAATTTTGAAGTAATGACATGAGTTTAGTACCTTGGTTTGAGATAACCATACAAATATTTATACTTTTTGTGTTATTGGTTAGAAATATATCAATACTACAGTCAAACACTCTTGATATTTTTTCCCGTTAGACTGTAAGTTTTTTAGTTTACTGTGCAGCTAAGTTCTTCTTTAGAATATGATTTTTTAAATATGAAATTGTAGTTCCTTGAACTTGAAAGAGTTAACAGATGTATGAAAATGTAGTTCCTTGAACTTGAAAGAGTTAACAGATATATAAAATGTAGTTCCTTGAACTTGAAAGAGTTGACAGATATATTAAAATGTAGTTCCTTGAATTTGAAAAAGTTAACAGATATATAAAAATGTAGTTCCTCTAGAACTCGAAAGAGTTAACAGATATAAAAAAAGGGATATATGAGAATGTCAACCAACACGAATATAATGCTATATTTATACTTATATTTATAAATATGTATCTATATGATTGTATCGAGTTAATTAATCATAATAAATCTTGTATATTTGTTCTCCGTTATATATGTCTCTTATTCAGATATATATATTGTACTAGCTTGGGACTTTTGCTAGGGGGCTTACAGTCCCTTTAA